GTCCACGTCCACGTCCACGTCCACGTCCATGTCCACGTCCACGTCCACGTCCACGTCCACGTCCACGTCCACGTCCACGTCCACGTCCACGTCCACGTCCACGTCCACTCCACGTCCACGTCCACGTCCACGTCCACGTCCACGTCCACGTCCACTGTCCACGTCCACGTCACGTCCACGTCCACTGTCCACGTCCACGTCCACGTCCATGTCCACGTCCACGTCCACGTCACGTCCACGTCCATGTCCACGTCCACGTCCACGTCCACGTCCACGTCCACGTCCACGTCACCGTCCACGTCCACGTCCACGTCCACGTCCATGTCCACGTCCACGTCCACGTCCACGTCCACGTCCACTGTCCACGTCCACTGTCCACGTCCACGTCCACGTCCACGTCCACGTCCACGTCCATGTCCACGTCCACGGTCCACGTCCACGTCCACGTCCACGTCCATGTCCACGTCCAGTCCACGTCCACGTCCACGTCCACGTCCATGTCCACGTCCACGTCCACGTCCACGTCCACGACCATGTCCCGTCCACGTCCACGTCCACGTCCATGTCCACGTCCACGTCCACGTCCACGTCCACGTCCACGTCCACGTCCACGTCCACGTCCACGTCCCACGTCCACGTCCACGTCCACGTCCACGTCCACGTCCATGTCCACGTCCACGTCCACGTCCACGTCCACGTCCACGTCCATGTCCACGTCCACGTCCACGTCCACGTCCACGTCCACGTCCACGTCCACGTCCACGTCCACGTCCACGTCCACGTCCACGTCACGTCCACGTCCACGTCCACGTCCACGTCCACGTCCACGTCCACGTCCATGTCCACGTCCACGTCCACGTCCACGTCCACGTCACGTCCACGTCCACGTCCACGTCCATGTCCACGTCCATGTCCACGTCCATCCACGTCCACGTCACGTCCACGTCCACGTCCACGTCCCACTGTCCACGTCCACGTCCACGTCCACGTCCATGTCCACGTCCACGTCCCGTCCACGTCCATGTCCACGTCCACGTCCACGTCCACGTCCACGTCCACGTCCATGTCCACGTCCACGTCCTCCACGTCCACGTCCACGTCCACGTCCACGTCCACGTCCACGTCCACGTCCCGTCCACGTCCACGTCCACGTCCATGTCCACGTCCACGTCCACGTCCACGTCCACGTCCACGTCCACGTCCACGTCCACGTCCCCACGTCCACGTCCACGTCCCATTCCTCCCACGTCCACGTCCACGTCCACTGTCCACGTCCACGTCCACGTCCACGTCCACGTCCACGTCCATTCCACGTCCACGTCCACGTCCACGTCCACGTCCACGTCCACGTCCACGTCCACGTCCACCCACGTCCACGTCCCGTCCACGTCCACGTCCACGTCACGTCCACGTCCACGTCCACGTCCACCACGTCCACTCCCGTCCACGTCCATGTCCACGTCCACGTCCACGTCCACGTCCACGTCCACGTCCACGTCCACGTCCACGTCCACGTCCATGTCCAGTCCGTCCACGTCCACGTCCACGTCCACGTCCACTCCACCACGTCCACGTCCACGTCCACACCACGTCCACGTCCACGTCCACGTCCACGTCCACGTCCACGTCCAGTCCACGTCCACGTCCACGTCCACGTCCACGTCCACGTCCACGTCCACGTCCATGTCCACGTCCACGTCCACGTCCACGTCCACGTCCACGTCCACGTCCATGTCCACGTCCACGCCTCCACGTCCACGTCCACGTCCACGTCCATGTCCACGTCCATGTCCACGTCCACGTCCACGTCCACGTCCTGTCCACGTCCACAGTCCATGTCCACGTCCACGTCCACGTCCACGTCCACGTCCACGTCCACGTCCACGTCCACGTCCACGTCCACGTCCACGTCCACGTCCACGTCCCATGTCCACGTCCACGTCCACGTCCACGTCCGTCCACGTCCACGTCCACGTCCACGTCCACGTCCACGTCCACGTCCTGTCCACGTCCACGTCCACGTCCACGTCCACGTCCACGTCCACGTCCACGTCCCGTCCACGTCCACGTCCACACGTCCACGTCCACGTCCACGTCCACGTCCATGTCCACGTCCACGTCCACGTCCACGTCCACGTCCACGTCCACGTCCACGTCCACGTCCACGTCCACGTCCACGTCCACGTCTGTCCCCACGTCCACCCGTCCACGTCCACGTCCACGTCCACGTCCACGTCCACGTCCACGTCCACGTCCACGTCCACGTCCACGTCCACGTCCACGTCCACGTCCACGTCCACGTCCACGTCCACGTCCACGTCCCACGTCCACGTCCACGTCCACGTCCACGTCCACGTCCACGTCCACGTCCACGTCCACGTCCACGTCCACGTCCACGTCCCGTCCACGTCCACGTCCACGTCCACGTCCACGTCCACGTCCACGTCCACGTCCACGTCCACGTCCATGTCCACGTCCACGTCCACGTCCACGTCCACGTCCACGTCCACGTCCACGTCCACGTCCACGTCCACGTCCACGTCCACGTCCACGTCCATGTCCACGTCCACGTCCACGTCCACGTCCATGTCCACGTCCACGTCCACGTCCACGTCCATGTCCACGTCCATGTCCACGTCCACGTCCACGTCCACGTCCACGTCCTGTCCACGTCCACGTCCACGTCCACGTCCGTCCACGTGTCCACGTCCACGTCCCCCCCCCCCACGTCCATGTCCACGTCCCGTCCACGTCCACGTCCATGTCCACGTCCACGTCCACGTCCACGTCCACGTCCACGTCCACGTCCACGTCCACTCCACTGTCCACGTCCACGTCCACGTCCACGTCCACGTCCACGTCCACCCACGTCCACGTCCACGTCCACGTCCATGTCCACGTCCACGTCCACGTCCACGTCCACGTCCACGTCCACGTCCACGTCCACGTCCACGTCCATGTCCACGTCCATTCCTCCACGTCCACGTCCACGTCCACGTCCACGTCCACGTCCACGTCCACGTCCACGTCCACGTCCACGTCCACGTCCACGTCCACGTCCACGTCCACGTCCACGTCCACGTCCACGTCCACGTCCACGTCCACGTCCACGTCCACGTCCACGTCCACGTCCACGTCCCGTCCACGTCCACGTCCACGTCCACGTCCACGTCCACGTCCACGTCCACGTCCACGTCCACGTCCACGTCCACGTCCACGTCCACGTCCACGTCCACGTCCACGTCCACGTCCACGTCCACTCCATGTCCACGTCCACGTCCACGTCCACGTCCACGTCCACGTCCACGTCCACGTCCACGTCCACGTCCACGTCCACGTCCACGTCCACGTCCTGTCCACGTCCACGTCCACGTCCACGTCCATGTCCACGTCCACGTCCACGTCCACGTCCACGTCCATTCCACGTCCACGTCCACGTCCCCACGTCCACGTCCACGTCCACGTCCACGTCCACGTCCACGTCCACGTCCACGTCCACGTCCACGTCCATGTCCACGTCCACGTCCCGTCCCACGTCCACGTCCACGTCCCGTCCACGTCCACGTCCACGTCCACGTCCACGTCCACGTCCACGTCCACGTCCACGTCCACGTCCATGTCCACGTCCACGTCCACGTCCACGTCCACGTCCACGTCCACGTCCATTCCACGTCCACTACGTCCACGTCCACGTCCACGTCCACGTCCACGTCCACGTCCACGTCCACGTCCACGTCCACGTCCACGTCCACGTCCATGTCCACGTCCACGTCCACGTCCACGTCCACGTCCACGTCCACGTCCACGTCCACGTCCACGTCCACGTCCTGTCCACGTCCACGTCCACGTCCACGTCCACGTCCACGTCCACGTCCCGTCCATGTCCACGTCCACGTCCACGTCCACGTCCACGTCCACGTCCACGTCCACGTCCACGTCCCGTCCACGTCCACGTCCACGTCCACGTCCATGTCCACGTCCACGTCCTCCACGTCCACGTCCACGTCCACGTCCACGTCCAGTCCACGTCCACGTCCACGTCCACGTCCACAGTCCACGTCCACGTCCACGTCCACGTCCGTCCACGTCCATGTCCACGTCCACGTCCACCGTCCACGTCCACGTCCATGTCCACGTCCACGTCCCACGTCCACGTCCACGTCCACGTCCACGTCCACGTCCACGTCCACGTCCACGTCCCGTCCACGTCCACGTCCACGTCCACGTCCACGTCCACATCCACGTCCACGTCCATGTCCACGTCCACGTCCACGTCCCACGTCCACGTCCACGTCCACGTCCACGTCCACCCCACGTCCACGTCCACGTCCACGTCCACGTCCACGTCCTCCCGTCCACGTCCACACGTCCACGTCCACGTCCACGTCCACGTCCCGTCCATGTCCACGTCCACGTCCACGTCCACGTCCACGTCCACGTCCACGTCCACGTCCACGTCCACGTCCCCCACGTCCACGTCCACGTCCAGTCCACGTCCTCCACGTCCACGTCCACGTCCACGTCCACGTCCACGTCCACGTCCACGTCCACGTCCACGTCCACGTCCATGTCCACGTCCACGTCCACGTCCACGTCCACGTCCACGTCCACGTCCACGTCCACGTCCACGTCCACGTCCACGTCCCCACGTCCACGTCCACGTCCACCGTCCACGTCCACGTCCACGTCCATGTCCACGTCCACGTCCACGTCCACGTCCACGTCCACGTCCACGTCCACGTCCACGTCCACGTCCACGTCCACGTCCACGTCCACGTCCACGTCCACGTCCACGTCCACGTCCACGTCCACGTCCACGTCCACGTCCACGTCCACGTCCACGTCCACGTCCACGTCCATGTCCACGTCCATGTCCACGTCCACGTCCACGTCCACGTCCACGTCCACGTCCACGTCCACGTCCACGTCCCACGTCCACGTCCATCACGTCCACGTCCACGTCCACGTCCACGTCCATGTCCACGTCCCGTCCACGTCCACGTCCACGTCCATGTCCACGTCCACGTCCACGTCCACGTCCATGTCCACGTCCACGTCCACGTCCTGTCCACGTCCACGTCCACTCCACGTCCACGTCCACGTCCACGTCCATGTCCACGTCCACGTCCACGTCCACGTCCACGTCCATGTCCACGTCCACGTCCACGTCCACGTCCACGTCCACGTCCACGTCCATGTCCACGTCCACGTCCACGTCCACGTCCACGTCCACGTCCACGTCCACGTCCACGTCCACGTCCACGTCCACGTCCACGTCCACGTCCACGTCCACGTCCACGTCCACGTCCACGTCCACGTCCACGTCCACGTCCACGTCCACGTCCACGTCCACGTCCACGTCCACGTCCACGTCCACGTCCACGTCCACGTCCACGTCCACGTCCACGTCCTGTCCACGTCCACGTCCACGTCCACGTCCAGTCCACGTCCACGTCCACGTCCACGTCCACGTCCACGTCCACGTCCATGTCCACGTCCACGTCCCGTCCACGTCCACGTCCACGTCCATGTCCACGTCCACGTCCACGTCCTGTCCACGTCCACGTCCCATCCACGTCCACGTCCACGTCCACGTCCACGTCCACGTCCACGTCCACGTCCACGTCCACGTCCACGTCCACGTCCACGTCCACGTCCACGTCCACGTCCACGTCCACGTCCACGTCCACGTCCACGTCCACGTCCACGTCCACGTCCACGTCCACGTCCATGTCCACGTCCACGTCCACGTCCACGTCCACGTCCACGTCCACGTCCACGTCCACGTCCACGTCCACGTCCACGTCCACGTCCACGTCCACGTCCACGTCCACGTCCACGTCCACGTCCACGTCCATCCACGTCCACGTCCACGTCCACGTCCACGTCCATTCCACGTCCACGTCCACGTCCATGTCCACGTCCACGTCCACGTCCACGTCCTGTCCACGTCCACGTCCACGTCCTGTCCACGTCCACGTCCACGTCCACGTCCACGTCCACGTCCACGTCCACGTCCACGTCCACGTCCATGTCCACGTCCACGTCCACGTCCACGTCCACGTCCACGTTCCGTCCCCCACGTCCACGTCCACGTCCACGTCCACGTCCCGTCCACGTCCACGTCCACGTCCCGTCCACGTCCACGTCCACTCCACGTCCACGTCCACGTCCACGTCCACGTCCACGTCCACGTCCACGTCCACGTCCACGTCCACGTCCATGTCCACGTCCACGTCCACGTCCACGTCCACGTCCACGTCCACGTCCACGTCCATGTCCACGTCCACGTCCACGTCCACGTCCACGTCCATGTCCACGTCCACGTCCACGTCCCCCGTCCACGTCCACGTCCCACGTCCACGTCCACGTCCTCCATGTCCACGTCCACGTCCACGTCCACGTCCACGTCCATGTCCACGTCCACGTCCACGTCACGTCCACGTCCTGTCCACGTCCCTGTCCACGTCCACGTCCACGTCCACGTCCACGTCCACGTCCACGTCCACGTCCACGTCCACGTCCACGTCCACGTCCACGTCCACGTCCACGTCCACGTCCACGTCCACGTCCACGTCCACGTCCACGTCCACGTCCACGTCCACGTCCAGTCCACGTCCACGTCCACGTCCACGTCCACGTCCACGTCCACGTCCACGTCCACGTCCTGTCCCACGTCCACGTCCACGTCCACGTCCACGTCCATGTCCACGTCCACGTCCACGTCCACGTCCACGTCCACGTCCACGTCCACGTCCACGTCCATGTCCACGTCCACGTCCCACGTCCACGTCCACGTCCATGTCCACGTCCACGTCCACGTCCAAGAACACGTCCACGTCCACGTCCACGTCCACGTCCACGTCCACGTCCACCCGTCCACGTCCACGTCCACGTCACGTCCACGTCCACGTCCACGTCCATGTCCCGTCCACGTCCACGTCCACGTCCACGTCCACGTCCACGTCCACGTCCACGTCCACGTCCACCACGTCCACGTCCACGTCCACGTCCGTTCCACGTCCACGTCCACGTCCACGTGTCCACGTCCACGTCCACGTCACAGTCCACTCCACGTCCACGTCCACGTCCACGTCCACGTCCACGTCCACGTCCGTCCACGTCCACGTCCACGTCCACGTCCACGTCCACGTCCACGTCCACGTCCACGTCCATGTCCACGTCCACGTCCACGTCCACGTCCACGTCCACGTCCACGTCCACGTCCACGTCCACGTCACGTCCACGTCCACGTCACCACCCCGTCCACGTCCACGTCCACGTCCACGTCCACGTCCACGTCCACGTCCACGTCCACGTCCACGTCCACGTCCACGTCCACGTCCACGTCCACTCCACGTCCACGTCCACGTCCACGTCCACGTCCACGTCCACGTCCACGTCCACGTCCACGTCCACGTCCACGTCCACGTCCACGTCCACGTCCACGTCCACGTCCACGTCCACGTCCACGTCCACGTCCACGTCCACGTCCATGTCCACGTCCACGTTCCACGTCCACGTCCACGTCCACGTCCAGTCCACGTCCACGTCCACGTCCACGTCCACGTCCACGTCCACGTCCACGTCCACGTCCACGTCCCGTCCACGTCCACGTCCACGTCCACGTCCACGTCCACGTCCGTCCACGTCCACGTCCACGTCCACGTCCACGTCCACGTCCACGTCCACGTCCACGTCCACGTCCACGTCCACGTCCACGTCCACGTCCACGTCCACGTCCACGTCCACGTCCACGTCCACGTCCACGTCCACGTCCACGTCCACGTCCCACGTCCACGTCCACGTCCACGTCCTCCACGTCCACGTCCACGTCCACCGTCCACGTCCCGTCCACGTCCACGTCCATGTCCACGTCCATGTCCACGTCCACGTCCACGTCCATGTCCACGTCCACGTCCACGTCCACGTCCACGTCCACGTCCACGTCCACGTCCACGTCCACGTCCACGTCCACGTCCACGTCCACGTCCACGTCCACGTCCACGTCCATCCACGTCCACGTCCACGTCCACGTCCACGTCCACGTCCACGTCCACGTCCACGTCCACGTCCACGTCCATGTCCACGTCCACGTCCACGTCCACGCACGTCCACGTCCACGTCCACGTCCACGTCCACGTCCACGTCCACGTCCACGTCCACGTCACGTCCACGTCCACGTCCACGTCCAGTCCACGTCCACGTCCTCCACGTCCACGTCCTCCACGTCCACGTCCACGTCCATGTCCACGTCCACGTCACGTCCACGTCCACGTCCACGTCCACGTCCACGTCCATGTCCACTCAGTCCACGTCCACGTCCACGTCCACGCCACGTCCACGTCCACGCCACGTCCACGTCCGTCCACGTCCACGTCCACGTCCACGTCCAAGTCCTCCACGTCCACGTCCCACGTCCACGTCCACGTCCATGTCCACGTCCACGTCCACGTCCACGTCAAGTCCACGTCACTCACGTCCATGTCCACGTCCACGTCCACGTCCACGTCCACGTCCATGTCCACGTCCACGTCCACGTCCACGTCCACGTCCACGTCCACGTCCACGTCCATGTCCACGCCACGTCCGTCCACGTCCACGTCCACGTCCACGTCCACGTCCACGTCCACGTCCACGTCCACGTCCACGTCCACGTCCACGTCACGTCCACGTCCACGTCCACGTCCACGTCCATGTCACGTCCACGTCCACGTCCACGTCCATGTCCACGTCCACGTCCACGTCCATGTCCACGTCCACGTCCACGTCCACGTCCGTCCACGTCCACGTCCATGTCCACGTCCACGTCCACGTCCATGTCCACGTCCACGTCCACGTCCACGTCCACGTCCACGTCCACCCACGTCCACGTCCACGTCCACGTCCACGTCCACGTCCACGTCCACGTCCACGTCCACGTCCACGTCCACGTCCATCCACGTCCACGTCCACGTCCACGTCCACGTCCACGTCCACGTCCACGTCCACGTCCACGTCCACGTCCAAGTCCGTCCACGTCCACGTCCACGTCCACGTCCACGTCCACGTCCACGTCCACGTCCACGTCCACGTCCACGTCCACGTCCAGTCCACGTCCACGTCCACGTCCACGTCCATGTCCACGTCCATGTCCACGTCCACGTCCACGTCCACGTCCACGTCCACGTCCACGTCCACGTCCACGTCCACGTCCACGTCCACGTCCATGTCCACGTCCTGTCCACGTCCACGTCCACGTCCACGTCCAGTCCACGTCCACGTCCACGTCCATGTCCACGTCCACGTCCACGTCCACGTCCACGTCCACGTCCACGTTCCACGTCCACGTCCATGTCCACGTCCACGTCCACGTCCACGTCCACGTCCACGTCCACGTCCACGTCCATGTCCACGTCCACGTCCACGTCCACGTCCACGTCCACGTCCACGTCCACGTCCACGTCCACGTCCACGTCCACGTCCACGTCCACGTCCACGTCCACACCCACGTCCACGTCCACGTCCACGTCCACGTCCACGTCCACGTCCACGTCCACGTCCACGTCCACGTCCACGTCCACGTCCACGTCCACGTCCACGTCCACGTCCACGTCCACGTCCACGTCCACGTCCACGTCCATGTCCACGTCCACGTCCACGTCCACGTCCACGTCCACGTCCACGTCCACGTCCACGTCCACGTCCATGTCCACGTCCACGTCCACGTCCATGTCCATGTCCACGTCCACGTCCACGTCCACGTCCACGTCCACGTCCACGTCCACGTCCACGTCCACGTCCACGTCCACGTCACGTCCACGTCCACGTCCACGTCCACGTCCACGTCCACGTCCACGTCCACGTCCACGTCCACGTGTCCACGTCCACGTCCAGTCCACGTCCACGTCCACGTCCACGTCCACGTCGTCCACGTCCACGTCCACGTCCACGTCCACGTCGTCCACGTCCACGTCCACGTCCACGTCCACGGCACGTCCATGTCCACGTCCATGTCCACGTCCACGTCCACGACGTCACGTCCACGTCCACGTCCACGTCCCACCACGTCCACGTCCACGTCCACGTCCACGTCCACGTGTCCACGACGTCCACGTCCACGTCCATGTCCACGTCCACGTCCACGTCGTCACGTCCACGTCCACGTCCACGTCCACGTCCATGTCCACGTCCACGTCCACGTCCACGTCCACGTCCACGTCCACGTCCACGTCCACGTCCACGTCCACGTCCGTCCACGTCCACGTCAACGTCCATGTCCACGTCCACGTCCACGTCCACGTCCACGTCCACGTCCACGTCCACGTCCACGTCCACGTCCACGTCCACGTCCATGTCCACGTCCACGTCCACGTCCACGTCCACGTCCACGTCCACGTCCACGTCCACGTCCACGTCCACGTCCACGTCCATGTCCACGTCCACGTCCACGTCCACGTCCACGTCCACGTCCACGTCCACGTCCACGTCCAAGTCCACGTCCACGTCCACGTCCACGTCACGTCCACGTCCACGTCCACGTCCACGTCCATGTCCACGTCCACGTCCACGTCCACGTCCACGTCCACGTCCACGTCCACGTCCACGTCACGTCCACGTCCCGTCCACGTCCACGTCCACGTCCACGTCCACGTCCACGTCCACGTCCACGTCCACGTCCACGTCACGTCCACGTCCACGTCCACGTCCGTCCATCCACGTCCACGTCCACGTCCACGTCCACGTCCACGTCCACGTCCACGTCCACGTCCACGTCCACGTCCACGTCCACGTCCACGTCCACGTCCACGTCCATGTCCACGTCCACGTCCACGTCCACGTCCACGTCCACGTCCACGTCCACGTCCACGTCCACGTCCACGTCCATGTCCACGTCCATGTCCACGTCCACGTCCACGTCCACGTCACGTCCACGTCCACGTCCACGTCCACGTCCACGTCCACGTCCACGTCCACGTCCACGTCCACGTCCACGTCCACGTCCACGTCCACGTCCACGTCCATGTCCACGTCCACGTCCACGTCCACGTCCACGTCCACGTCCACGTCCACGTCCACGTCCACGTCCACGTCCACGTCCACGTCCACGTCCACGTCCACGTCCATGTCCACGTCCACGTCCACGTCCACGTCCACGTCCACGTCCACGTCCACGTCCACGTCCACGTCACGTCCACGTCCACGTCCACGTCCACGTCCACGTCCACGTCCACGTCCATGTCCACGTCCACGTCCACGTCCACGTCCACGTCCACGTCCACGTCCACGTCCACGTCCACGTCCACGTCCACGTCCACGTCCACGTCCACGTCCACGTCCAGTCCACGTCCACGTCCCGTCCACGTCCACGTCCACGTCCACGTCCACGTCCACGTCCACGTCCACGTCCAGTCCACGTCCACGTCCACGTCCACGTCCACGTCCACGTCCACGTCCACGTCCAGTCCACGTCCACGTCCACGTCACGTCCACGTCCACGTCCACGTCCACGTCCACGTCCACGTCCACGTCCACGTCCACGTCCACGTCCATGTCCACGTCCACGTCCACGTCCACGTCCACGTCCACGTCCACGTCCACGTCCACGTCCACGTCCACGTCCACGTCCACGTCCAGTCCACGTCCACGTCCACGTCCACGTCCACGTCCACGTCCACGTCCACGTCCACGTCCCGTCCACGTCCACGTCCACGTCCACGTCCACGTCCACGTCCACGTCCACGTCCACGTCCACGTCCACGTCCACGTCCGTCCACGTCCATGTCCACGTCCACGTCCACGTCCACGTCCACGTCCACGTCCACGTCCACGTCCCGTCCACGTCCACGTCCACGTCCACGTCCATGTCCACGTCCACGTCCACGTCCACGTCCACGTCCACGTCCACGTCCACGTCCACGTCCACGTCCACGTCCACGTCCACGTCCACGTCCACGTCCACGTCCATGTCCACGTCCACGTCCACGTCCACGTCCACGTCCACGTCCACGTCCACGTCCACGTCCACGTCCACGTCCACGTCCATGTCCACGTCCACGTCCACGTCCACGTCCACGTCCCGTCCACGTCCACGTCCACGTCACGTCCACGTCCACGTCCACGTCCACGTCCACGTCCACGTCACGTCCACGTCCACGTCCACGTCCACGTCCGCCACGTCCATGTCCACGTCCACGTCCCGTTCCCAGACGTCCGTCCACGTCCACGTCCACGTCCACGTCCAGTCCACGTCCACGTCCCACGTCCACGTCCACGTCCACGTCCACGTCCACGTCCAGTCCACGTCACGTCCACGTCCACGTCCACGTCCACGTCCACGTCCACGTCCACGTCCACGTCCACGTCCACGTCATGTCCACGTCCACGTCCACGTCCACGTCCACGTCCACGTCCAGTCACGTCCACGTCCACGTCCACGTCCACGTCCACGTCCACGTCCACGTCCACGTCCACGTCCACGTCCACGTCCACGTCCACGTCCATGTCCACGTCCACGTCCACGTCCACGTCCACGTCCACGTCCACGTCCACGTCCACGTCCACGTCACGTCCACGTCCACGTCCACGTCCACGTCCACGTCCACGTCCACGTCCACGTCACGTCCACGTCCACGTCCACGTCCACGTCCACGTCCACGTCCACGTCCACGTCCACGTCCACGTCCATGTCCACGTCCACGTCCACGTCCACGTCCATGTCCACGTCCACGTCCACGTCCACGTCCACGTCCACGTCCACGTCCATGTCCACGTCCATGTCCACGTCCAGTCCACGTCCACGTCCACGTCCGTCCACGTCCACGTCCACGTCCACGTCCACGTCCACGTCCACGTCCACGTCCACGTCCACGTCCACGTCCACGTCACGCACGTCCACGTCCACGTCCACGTCCACGTCCACGTCCACGTCCACGTCAACGTCCACGTCCACGTCCACGTCCACGTCCACGTCCACGTCCACGTCCACGTCCACGTCCACGTCCATGTCCACGTCCTCCACGTCCACGTCCATGTCCACGTCCACGTCCACGTCCATCCACGTCCATGTCCACGTCCACGTCCACGTCCATGCCACGTACGTCCATGTCCACGTCCACGTCCACGTCCACGTCCATCTCCACGTCCACGTCCACGTCCACGTCCACGTCCACGTCCACGTCCACGTCCACGTCCACGTCCACGTCCACGTCACGTCCACGTCCACGTCCACGTCAATTCACGTCCACGTCCAAGTCCACGTCCACGTCCACGTCCATGTCCACGTCCACGTCCACGTCCACGTCCACGTCCATGTCCACGTCCACTCCACGTCCACGTCCACGTCCACGTCCACGTCACGTCCACGTCCACGTCCACGTCCACGTCCACGTCCACGTCCATGTCCACGTCCACGTCCACGTCCACGACAACGTCTACGACCACGTCCACGTCCACGTCACGTCCACGTCCACGTCCACGTCCACGTCCTCCACGTCCACGTCCACGTCCACGTCCATGTCCACGTCCACGTCCACGTCCACGTCCGGTCCACGTCCACGTCCATGTCCACGTCCACGTCCACGTCCACGTCCACGTCCACGTCCACGTCACGTCCACGTCCATGTCCACGTCCACGTCCTCCACGTCCACGTCCACGTCCACGTCCACGTCCACGTCCACGTCCACGTCCACGTCCACGTCCACGTCCACGTCAAGTCTCCACGTCCACGTCCACGTCCACGTCCATGTCCACGTCCACGTCCACGTCCCCACGTCCACGTCCACGTCCACGTCAGTCCACGTCCACGTCCACGTCCACGTCCACGTCCACGTCCACGTCCACGTCCATGTCCACGTCCACGTCCACGTCCACGTCCGTCCACGTCCACGTCCACGTCACGTCCACGTCCACGTCCACGTCCACGTCCACGTCCACGTCCTCCACGTCCACGTCCACGTCCACGTCCACGTCCACGTCCACGTCCACGTCCACGTCCACGTCCACGTCCACGTCCACGTCCACGTCCACGTCCACGTCCACGTCCACGTCCACGTCCACGTCCACGTCCACGTCCACGTCCACGTCCACGTCCACGTCCACGTCCACGTCCACGTCCACGTCCACGTCCACGTCCACGTCCACGTCCACGTCCACGTCCCGTCCACGTCAGTCCACGTCCATGTCCACGTCCACGTCCACGTCCACGTCCACGTCCACGTCCACGTCAATGTCCACGTCCACGTCCACGTCCACGTCCACGTCCACGTCCACGTCCACGTCCACGTCCATGTCCACGTCCACGTCCACGTCCACGTCCACGTCCACGTCCACGTCCACGTCCACGTCACGTCCACGTCCATGTCCACGTCCACGTCCACGTCCACGTCCACGTCCACGTCCACGTCCACGTCCACGTCCACGTCCACGTCCACGTCCACGTCCACGTCCACGTCCACGTCCACGTCCACGTCCACGTCCCCGTCCACGTCCACGTCCACGTCCATGTCCACGTCCACGTCCACGTCCACGTCCACGTCCACGTCCACGTCCACGTCCACGTCCACGTCCACGTCCACGTCCACGTCCACGTCCACGTCCACGTCCACGTCCACGTCCACGTCCACGTCCACGTCCACGTCCAGTCCACGTCCACGTCCACGTCCACGTCCACGTCCACGTCCACGTCCACGTCCACGTCCACGTCCACGTCCACGTCCACGTCCACGTCCACGTCCATGTCCACGTCCACGTCCATGTCCACGTCCACGTCCACGTCCACGTCCACGTCCACGTCCACGTCCACGTCCACGTCCACGTCCACGTCCACGTCCACGTCCACGTCCACGTCCACGTCCACGTCCACGTCCACGTCCACGTCCACGTCCACGTCCACGTCCACGTCCACGTCCACGTCCACGTCCACGTCCAGTCCACGTCCACGTCCACGTCCACGTCCACGTCCACGTCCACGTCCACGTCCGTCCATGTCCACGTCCACGTCCACGTCCACGTCCACGTCAAAGTCCACGTCCACACGTCAACACATCCACGTCCACGTCCACGTCCACGTCCACGTCCACGTCCACGTCCACGTCCATGTCCACGTCCACGTCCACGTCCAGTCCACGTCCACGTCCACGTCCACGTCCACGTCCACGTCCACGTCCACGTCCACGTCACGTCCACGTCCACGTCCACGTCCACGTCCACGTCCACGTCCACGTCCACGTCCACGTCCACGTCCACGTCCGTCCAGTCCACGTCCACGTCCACGTCCACGTCCATGTCCACGTCCACGTCCACGTCCACGTCCATGTCCACGTCCACGTCCACGTCCACGTCCACGTCCACGTCCACGTCCACGTCCACGTCCACGTCCACGTCCACGTCCACGTCCCCGTCCACGTCCACGTCCACGTCCACGTCCACGTCCACGTCCACGTCCACGTCCATGTCCACGTCCACGTCCACGTCCACGTCCACGTCCACGTCCACGTCCACGTCCACGTCCACGTCATGTCCACGTCCACGTCCACGTCCACGTCCACGTCCACGTCCACGTCCACGTCCACGTCCACGTCCACGTCCACGTCCACGTCCACGTCCACGTCCATGTCCACGTCCACGTCCGTCCACGTCCATGTCCACGTCCACGTCCACGTCCGTCCACGTCCACGTCCACGTCCACGTCCACGTCCACGTCCACGTCCACGTCACGTCCACGTCCACGTCCATGTCCACGTCCACGTCCACGTCCACGTCCACGTCCATGTCCACGTCCACGTCACGTCCACGTCCACGTCCACGTCCACGTCCACGTCCACGTCCACGTCCACGTCCCGTCCACGTCCACGTCCACGTCCACGTCCACGTCCACGTCCACGTCCACGTCCACGTCCACGTCCACGTCCACGTCCACGTCCACGTCCACGTCCACGTCCACGTCCACGTCCACGTCCACGTCCACGTCCACGTCCACGTCCACGTCCACGTCCACGTCCACGTCCACGTCCACGTCCACGTCCACGTCACGTCCACGTCCACGTCCACGTCCACGTCACGTCCACGTCCACGTCCACGTCCACGTCCACGTCCCGTCCACGTCCATGTCCACGTCCACGTCCACGTCCACGTCCACGTCCACGTCACGTCCACGTCCACGTCCACGTCCACGTCCACGACCACGTCCACGTCACTCCACGTCCACGTCCGTCCACGTCCAGTCCATGTCCACGTCCACGTCCACGTCCACGTCCACGTCCACGTCCACGTCCACGTCCACGTCCACGTCCACGTCCACGTCCACGTCCACGTCCACGTCCACGTCCACGTCCGTCCACGTCCACGTCCACGTCCACGTCCACGTCCACGTCCACGTCCACGTCCACGTCCATGTCCACGTCCACGTCCACGTCCACGTCCACGTCCACGTCCACGTCCCGTCCACGTCCACGTCCACGTCATGTCCACGTCCACGTCCACGTCCACGTCCACGTCCACGTCCACGTCCACGTCCACGTCCACGTCCACGTCCACGTCCACGTCCACGTCCACGTCCACGTCAACGTCACGTCCACGTCCACGTCCACGTCCACGTCCACGTCCACGTCCACGTCCACGTCCACGTCCACGTCCACGTCCACGTCCATGTCCACGTCCACGTCCACGTCCACGTCCACGTCCACGTCCACGTCCACGTCCACGTCCACGTCCACGTCCATGTCCACGTCCACGTCCACGTCCACGTCCACGTCCACGTCCACGTCCACGTCCACGTCCACGTCCACGTCCATGTCCACGTCCACGTCCACGTCCACGTCACGTCCACGTCCACGTCCACGTCCACGTCCACGTCCACGTCCATGTCCACGTCCACGTCCACGTCTCCACGTCCACGTCCTCCACGTCCACGTCCACGTCCACGTCCACGTCCACGTCCACGTCCACGTCCGGTCCACGTCCACGTCCATGTCCACGTCCACGTCCACGTCCACGTCCACGTCCACGTCCACGTCCACGTCCACGTCCACGTCCACGTCCATGTCCACGTCCACGTCCACGTCCACGTCCACGTCACGTCCACGTCCACGTCCGTCCACGTCCACGTCCACGTCCACGTCCACGTCCACGTCCACGTCCACGTCCACGTCCACGTCCACGTCCACGTCCACGTCCACGTCCACGTCCACGTCCACGTCCACGTCCACGTCCACGTCCACGTCCACGTCCACGTCCACGTCCACGTCCATGTCCCGTCCACGTCCACGTCCACGTCCACGTCCACGTCCACGTCCACGTCCACGTCCACGTCCACGTCCACGTCCCGTCCACGTCCACGTCCACGTCCACGTCCACGCGTCCACGTCCACGTCCACGTCCACGTCCACGTCCACGTCCACGTCCATGTCCACGTCCACGTCCACGTCCACGTCCACGTCCACGTCCACGTCCACGTCCACGTCCACGTCCACGTCCACGTCCATGTCCACGTCCACGTCCTCCACGTCCACGTCACGTCCACGTCCACGTCCACGTCCACGTCCACGTCCACGTCCACGTCCACGTCCACGTCCACGTCCACGTCCACGTCCACGTCCACGTCCACGTCCACGTCCACGTCCACGTCCACGTCCACGTCCACGTCCACGTCCACGTCCACGTCCACGTCCACGTCCACGTCCACGTCCACGTCCACGTCCACGTCCACGTCCACGTCCACGTCCACGTCCACGTCCACGTCCACGTCCACGTCCACGTCCACGTCCACGTCCACGTCCACGTCCACGTCCATGTCCACGTCCACGTCCACGTCCACGTCCACGTCCACGTCCACGTCCACGTCCACGTCCACGTCCACGTCCACGTCCACGTCCACGTCCACGTCCATCCACGTCCACGTCCACGTCCACGTCCACGTCCACGTCCACGTCCACGTCCACGTCCACGTCCACGTCCACGTCCACGTCCACGTCCACGTCCACGTCCACGTCCACGTCCACGTCCACGTCCACGTCCTCCACGTCCACGTCCACGTCCACGTCCACGTCCACGTCCACGTCCACGTCCACGTCCACGTCCACGTCCACGTCCACGTCCACGTCCACGTCCACGTCCACGTCCACGTCCACGTCCACGTCCACGTCCACGTCCACGTCCACGTCCACGTCCACGTCCACGTCCACGTCCACGTCCACGTCCACGTCCACGTCCACGTCCACGTCCACGTCCATGTCCACGTCCACGTCCACGTCCACGTCCACGTCCACGTCCACGTCCACGTCCACGTCCACGTCCACGTCCACGTCCACGTCCACGTCCACGTCCACGTCCACGTCCACGTCCACGTCCACGTCCACGTCCACGTCCACGTCCACGTCCACGTCCACGTCCACGTCCACGTCCACGTCCGTCCACGTCCACGTCCACGTCCACGTCCACGTCTTCGTCCATGCCACGTCCACGTCCACGTCCACGTCCACGTCCACGTCCACGTCCACGTCCACGTCCACGTCCACGTCCACGTCCACGTCCACGTCCACGTCCACGTCCACGTCCACGTCCACGTCCACGTCCACGTCCACGTCCACGTCCACGTCCACGTCCACGTCCACGTCCACGTCCACGTCCACGTCCACGTCCACGTCCACGTCCACGTCCACGTCCACGTCCACGTCCACGTCCACGTCCACGTCCACGTCCACGTCACGTCCACGTCCACGTCCACGTCCACGTCCACGTCCACGTCCACGTCACGTCCACGTCCACGTCCACGTCCACGTCCACGTCCACGTCCACGTCCACGTCCACGTCCACGTCCACGTCCACGTCCACGTCCACGTCCACGTCCACGTCCACGTCCACGTCCACGTCCATGTCCACGTCCACGTCCACGTCCACGTCCACGTCCACGTCCACGTCCACGTCCACGTCCACGTCCACGTCCACGTCCACGTCCACGTCCACGTCCACGTCCACGTCCACGTCCACGTCCACGTCCACGTCCACGTCCACGTCCACGTCCACGTCCACGTCCACGTCCACGTCCATGTCCACGTCCACGTCCACGTCCACGTCCACGTCCACGTCCACGTCCACGTCCACGTCCACGTCCACGTCCACGTCCACGTCCACGTCCACGTCCACGTCCACGTCCACGTCCACGTCCACGTCCACGTCCACGTCCACGTCCACGTCCACGTCCACGTCCACGTCCACGTCCACGTCCACGTCCACGTCCACGTCCACGTCCACGTCCACGTCCACGTCCACGTCCACGTCCACGTCCACGTCCACGTCCACGTCCACGTCCACGTCCACGTCCACGTCCACGTCCACGTCCACGTCCACGTCCACGTCCACGTCCACGTCCACGTCCACGTCCACGTCCACGTCCACGTCCACGTCCACGTCCACGTCCACGTCCACGTCCACGTCCACGTCCACGTCCACGTCCACGTCCACGTCCACGTCCACGTCCACGTCCACGTCCACGTCCACGTCCACGTCCACGTCCACGTCCACGTCCACGTCCACGTCCACGTCCACGTCCACGTCCACGTCCACGTCCACGTCCACGTCCACGTCCACGTCCACGTCCACGTCCACGTCCACGTCCACGTCCACGTCCACGTCCACGTCCACGTCCACGTCCACGTCCACGTCCACGTCCACGTCCATGTCCACGTCCACGTCCGTCCACGTCCACGTCCACGTCCACGTCCACGTCCACGTCCACGTCCACGTCCACGTCCACGTCCACGTCCACGTCCACGTCCACGTCCACGTCCACGTCCACGTCCACGTCCACGTCCACGTCCACGTCCACGTCCACGTCCACGTCCACGTCCACGTCCACGTCCACGTCCACGTCCACGTCCACGTCCACGTCCACGTCCACGTCCACGTCCACGTCCACGTCCACGTCCACGTCCACGTCCACGTCCACGTCCACGTCCACGTCCACGTCCACGTCCACGTCCACGTCCACGTCCACGTCCACGTCCACGTCCACGTCCACGTCCACGTCCACGTCCACGTCCACGTCCACGTCCACGTCCACGTCCACGTCCACGTCCACGTCCACGTCCATGTCCACGTCCACGTCACGTCCACGTCCACGTCCACGTCCACGTCCACGTCCACGTCCACGTCCACGTCCACGTCCACGTCCACGTCCACGTCCACGTCCACGTCCACGTCCACGTCCACGTCCACGTCCACGTCCACGTCCACGTCCACGTCCACGTCCACGTCCACGTCCACGTCCACGTCCACGTCCACGTCCACGTCCACGTCCACGTCCACGTCCACGTCCACGTCCACGTCCACGTCCACGTCCACGTCCACGTCCACGTCCACGTCCACGTCCACGTCCACGTCCACGTCCACGTCCACGTCCACGTCCACGTCCACGTCCATCCACGTCCACGTCCACGTCCACGTCCACGTCCACGTCCACGTCCACGTCCACGTCCACGTCCACGTCCACGTCCACGTCCACGTCCACGTCCACGTCCACGTCCACGTCCACGTCCACGTCCACGTGTCCACGTCCACGTCCACGTCCACGTCCACGTCCACGTCCACGTCCACGTCCACGTCCACGTCCACGTCCACGTCCACGTCCACGTCCACGTCCACGTCCACGTCCACGTCCACGTCCACGTCCACGTCCACGTCCACGTCCGTCCACGTCCACGTCCACGTCCACGTCCACGTCCACGTCCACGTCCACGTCCACGTCCACGTCCACGTCCACGTCCACGTCCACGTCCACGTCCACGTCCACGTCCACGTCCACGTCCACGTCCACGTCCACGTCCACGTCCACGTCCACGTCCACGTCCACGTCCACGTCCACGTCCACGTCCACGTCCACGTCCACGTCCACGTCCACGTCCACGTCCACGTCCACGTCCACGTCCACGTCCACGTCCACGTCCACGTCCACGTCCACGTCCACGTCCACGTCCACGTCCACGTCCACGTCCACGTCCACGTCCACGTCCACGTCCACGTCCACGTCCACGTCCACGTCCACGTCCACGTCCACGTCCACGTCCACGTCCACGTCCACGTCCACGTCCACGTCCACGTCCACGTCCACGTCCACGTCCACGTCCACGTCCACGTCCACGTCCACGTCCTCCACGTCCACGTCCACGTCCACGTCCACGTCCACGTCCACGTCCACGTCCACGTCCACGTCCACGTCCACGTCCACGTCCACGTCCACGTCCACGTCCGTCCACGTCCACGTCCACGTCCACGTCCACGTCCACGTCCACGTCCACGTCCACGTCCACGTCCACGTCCACGTCCACGTCCACGTCCACGTCCACGTCCACGTCCACGTCCACGTCCACGTCCACGTCCACGTCCACGTCCACGTCCACGTCCACGTCCACGTCCACGTCCACGTCCACGTCCACGTCCACGTCCACGTCCACGTCCACGTCCACGTCCACGTCCACGTCCACGTCCACGTCCACGTCCACGTCCACGTCCACGTCCACGTCCACGTCCACGTCCACGTCCACGTCCACGTCCACGTCCACGTCCACGTCCACGTCCACGTCCACGTCCACGTCCACGTCCACGTCCACGTCCACGTCCACGTCCACGTCCACGTCCACGTCCACGTCCACGTCCACGTCCACGTCCACGTCCACGTCCACGTCCACGTCCACGTCCACGTCCACGTCCACGTCCACGTCCACGTCCACGTCCACGTCCACGTCCACGTCCACGTCCACGTCCACGTCCACGTCCACGTCCACGTCCACGTCCACGTCCACGTCCACGTCCACGTCCACGTCCACGTCCACGTCCACGTCCACGTCCACGTCCACGTCCACGTCCACGTCGTCCACGTCCACGTCCACGTCCACGTCCACGTCCACGTCCACGTCCACGTCCACGTCCACGTCCACGTCCACGTCCACGTCCACGTCCACGTCCACGTCCACGTCCACGTCCACGTCCACGTCCACGTCCACGTCCACGTCCACGTCCACGTCCACGTCCACGTCCACGTCCACGTCCACGTCCACGTCCACGTCCACGTCCACGTCCACGTCCACGTCCACGTCCACGTCCACGTCCACGTCCACGTCCACGTCCACGTCCACGTCCACGTCCACGACGTCCACGTCCACGTCCACGTCCACGTCCACGTCCACGTCCACGTCCACGTCCACGTCCACGTCCACGTCCACGTCCACGTCCACGTCCACGTCCACGTCCACGTCCACGTCCACGTCCACGTCCACGTCCACGTCCACGTCCACGTCCACGTCCACGTCCACGTCCACGTCCACGTCCACGTCCACGTCCACGTCCACGTCCACGTCCACGTCCACGTCCACGTCCACGTCCACGTTCCACGTCCACGTCCACGTCCACGTCCACGTCCACGTCCACGTCCACGTCCACGTCCACGTCCACGTCCACGTCCACGTCCACGTCCACGTCCACGTCCACGTCCACGTCCACGTCCACGTCCACGTCCACGTCCACGTCCACGTCCACGTCCACGTCCACGTCCACGTCCACGTCCACGTCCACGTCCACGTCCACGTCCACGTCCACGTCGTCCACGTCCACGTCCACGTCCACGTCCACGTCCACGTCCACGTCCACGTCCACGTCCACGTCCACGTCCACGTCCACGTCCACGTCCACGTCCACGTCCACGTCCACGTCCACGTCCACGTCCACGTCCACGTCCACGTCCACGTCCACGTCCACGTCCACGTCCACGTCCACGTCCACGTCCACGTCCACGTCCACGTCCACGTCCACGTCCACGTCCACGTCCACGTCCACGTCCACGTCCACGTCCACGTCCACGTCCACGTCCACGTCCACGTCCACGTCCACGTCCACGTCCACGTCCACGTCCACGTCCACGTCCACGTCCACGTCCACGTCCACGTCCACGTCCACGTCCACGTCCACGTCCACGTCCACGTCCACGTCCACGTCCACGTCCACGTCCACGTCCACGTCCACGTCCACGTCCACGTCCACGTCCACGTCCACGTCCACGTCCACGTCCACGTCCACGTCCACGTCCACGTCCACGTCCACGTCCACGTCCACGTCCACGTCCACGTCCACGTCCACGTCCACGTCCACGTCCACGTCCACGTCCACGTCCACGTCCACGTCCACGTCCACGTCCACGTCCACGTCCACGTCCACGTCCACGTCCACGTCCACGTCCACGTCCACGTCCACGTCCACGTCCACGTCCACGTCCACGTCCACGTCCACGTCCACGTCCACGTCCACGTCCACGTCCACGTCCACGTCCACGTCCACGTCCACGTCCACGTCCACGTCCACGTCCACGTCCACGTCCACGTCCACGTCCACGTCCACGTCCACGTCCACGTCCACGTCCACGTCCACGTCCACGTCCACGTCCACGTCCACGTCCACGTCCACGTCCACGTCCACGTCCACGTCCACGTCCACGTCCACGTCCACGTCCACGTCCACGTCCACGTCCACGTCCACGTCCACGTCCACGTCCACGTCCACGTCCACGTCCACGTCCACGTCCACGTCCACGTCCACGTCCACGTCCACGTCCACGTCCACGTCACGTCCACGTCCACGTCCACGTCCACGTCCACGTCCACGTCCACGTCCACGTCCACGTCCACGTCCACGTCCACGTCCACGTCCACGTCCACGTCCACGTCCACGTCCACGTCCACGTCCACGTCCACGTCCACGTCCACGTCCACGTCCACGTCCACGTCCACGTCCACGTCCGTCCACGTCCACGTCCACGTCACGTCCACGTCCACGTCCACGTCCACGTCCACGTCCACGTCCACGTCCACGTCCACGTCCACGTCCACGTCCACGTCCACGTCCACGTCCACGTCCACGTCCACGTCCACGTCCACGTCCACGTCCACGTCCACGTCCACGTCCACGTCCACGTCCACGTCCACGTCCACGTCCACGTCCACGTCGTCCACGTCCACGTCCACGTCCACGTCCACGTCCACGTCCACGTCCACGTCCACGTCCACGTCCACGTCCACGTCCACGTCCACGTCCACGTCCACGTCCACGTCCATGTCCACGTCCACGTCCACGTCCACGTCCACGTCCACGTCCACGTCCACGTCCACGTCCACGTCCACGTCCACGTCCACGTCCACGTCCACGTCCACGTCCACGTCCACGTCCACGTCCACGTCCACGTCCACGTCCACGTCCACGTCCACGTCCACGTCCACGTCCACGTCCACGTCCACGTCCACGTCCACGTCCACGTCCACGTCCACGTCCACGTCCACGTCCACGTCCACGTCCACGTCCACGTCCACGTCCACGTCCACGTCCACGTCCACGTCCACGTCCACGTCCACGTCCACGTCCACGTCCACGTCCACGTCCACGTCCACGTCCACGTCCACGTCCACGTCCACGTCCACGTCCACGTCCACGTCCACGTCCACGTCCACGTCCACGTCCACGTCCACGTCCACGTCCACGTCCACGTCCACGTCCACGTCCACGTCCACGTCCACGTCCACGTCCACGTCCACGTCCACGTCCACGTCCACGTCCACGTCCACGTCCACGTCCACGTCCACGTCCACGTCCACGTCCACGTCCACGTCCACGTCCACGTCCACGTCCACGTCCACGTCCACGTCCACGTCCACGTCCACGTCCACGTCCACGTCCACGTCCACGTCCACGTCCACGTCCACGTCCACGTCCACGTCCACGTCCACGTCCACGTCCACGTCCACGTCCACGTCCACGTCCACGTCCACGTCCACGTCCACGTCCACGTCCACGTCCACGTCCACGTCCACGTCCACGTCCACGTCCACGTCCACGTCCACGTCCACGTCCACGTCCACGTCCACGTCCACGTCCACGTCCACGTCCACGTCCACGTCCACGTCCACGTCCACGTCCACGTCCACGTCCACGTCCACGTCCACGTCCACGTCCACGTCCACGTCCACGTCCACGTCCACGTCCACGTCCACGTCCACGTCCACGTCCACGTCCACGTCCACGTCCACGTCCACGTCCACGTCCACGTCCACGTCCACGTCCACGTCCACGTCCACGTCCACGTCCACGTCCACGTCCACGTCCACGTCCACGTCCACGTCCACGTCCACGTCCACGTCCACGTCCACGTCCACGTCCACGTCCACGTCCACGTCCACGTCCACGTCCACGTCCACGTCCACGTCCACGTCCACGTCCACGTCCACGTCCACGTCCACGTCCACGTCCACGTCCACGTCCACGTCCACGTCCACGTCCACGTCCACGTCCACGTCCACGTCCACGTCCACGTCCACGTCCACGTCCACGTCCACGTCCACGTCCACGTCCACGTCCACGTCCACGTCCACGTCCACGTCCACGTCCACGTCCACGTCCACGTCCACGTCCACGTCCACGTCCACGTCCACGTCCACGTCCACGTCCACGTCCACGTCCACGTCCACGTCCACGTCCACGTCCACGTCCACGTCCACGTCCACGTCCACGTCCACGTCCACGTCCACGTCCACGTCCACGTCCACGTCCACGTCCACGTCCACGTCCACGTCCACGTCCACGTCCACGTCCACGTCCACGTCCACGTCCACGTCCACGTCCACGTCCACGTCCACGTCCACGTCCACGTCCACGTCCACGTCCACGTCCACGTCCACGTCCACGTCCACGTCCACGTCCACGTCCACGTCCACGTCCACGTCCACGTCCACGTCCACGTCCACGTCCACGTCCACGTCCACGTCCACGTCCACGTCCACGTCCACGTCCACGTCCACGTCCACGTCCACGTCCACGTCCACGTCCACGTCCACGTCCACGTCCACGTCCACGTCCACGTCCACGTCCACGTCCACGTCCACGTCCACGTCCACGTCCACGTCCACGTCCACGTCCACGTCCACGTCCACGTCCACGTCCACGTCCACGTCCACGTCCACGTCCACGTCCACGTCCACGTCCACGTCCACGTCCACGTCCACGTCCACGTCCACGTCCACGTCCACGTCCACGTCCACGTCCACGTCCACGTCCACGTCCACGTCCACGTCCACGTCCACGTCCACGTCCACGTCCACGTCCACGTCCACGTCCACGTCCATGTCCACGTCCACGTCCACGTCCACGTCCACGTCCACGTCCACGTCCACGTCCACGTCCACGTCCACGTCCACGTCCACGTCCACGTCCACGTCCACGTCCACGTCCACGTCCACGTCCACGTCCACGTCCACGTCCACGTCCACGTCCACGTCCACGTCCACGTCCACGTCCACGTCCACGTCCACGTCCACGTCCACGTCCACGTCCACGTCCACGTCCACGTCCACGTCCACGTCCACGTCCACGTCCACGTCCACGTCCACGTCCACGTCCACGTCCACGTCCACGTCCAGTCCACGTCCACGTCCACGTCCACGTCCACGTCCACGTCCACGTCCACGTCCACGTCCACGTCCACGTCCACGTCCACGTCCACGTCCACGTTGTCCACGTCCACGTCCACGTCCACGTCCACGTCCACGTCCACGTCCACGTCCACGTCCACGTCCACGTCCACGTCCACGTCCACGTCCACGTCCACGTCCACGTCCACGTCCACGTCCACGTCCACGTCCACGTCCACGTCCACGTCCACGTCCACGTCCACGTCCACGTCCACGTCCACGTCCACGTCCACGTCCACGTCCACGTCCACGTCCACGTCCACGTCCACGTCCACGTCCACGTCCACGTCCACGTCCACGTCCACGTCCACGTCCACGTCCACGTCCACGTCCACGTCCACGTCCACGTCCACGTCCACGTCCACGTCCACGTCCACGTCCACGTCCACGTCCACGTCCACGTCCACGTCCACGTCCACGTCCACGTCCACGTCCACGTCCACGTCCACGTCCACGTCCACGTCCACGTCCACGTCCACGTCCACGTCCACGTCCACGTCCACGTCCACGTCCACGTCCACGTCCACGTCCACGTCCACGTCCACGTCCACGTCCACGTCCACGTCCACGTCCACGTCCACGTCCACGTCCACGTCCACGTCCACGTCCACGTCCACGTCCACGTCCACGTCCACGTCCACGTCCACGTCCACGTCCACGTCCACGTCCACGTCCACGTCCACGTCCACGTCCACGTCCACGTCCACGTCCACGTCCACGTCCACGTCCACGTCCACGTCCACGTCCACGTCCACGTCCACGTCCACGTCCACGTCCACGTCCACGTCCACGTCCACGTCCACGTCCACGTCCACGTCCACGTCCACGTCCACGTCCACGTCCACGTCCACGTCCACGTCCACGTCCACGTCCACGTCCACGTCCACGTCCACGTCCACGTCCACGTCCACGTCCACGTCCACGTCCACGTCCACGTCCACGTCCACGTCCACGTCCATGTCCACGTCCACGTCCACGTCCACGTCCACGTCCACGTCCACGTCCACGTCCACGTCCACGTCCACGTCCACGTCCACGTCCACGTCCACGTCCACGTCCACGTCCACGTCCACGTCCACGTCCACGTCCACGTCCACGTCCACGTCCACGTCCACGTCCACGTCCACGTCCACGTCCACGTCCACGTCCACGTCCACGTCCACGTCCATGTCCACGTCCACGTCCACGTCCACGTCCACGTCCACGTCCACGTCCACGTCCACGTCCACGTCCACGTCCACGTCCACGTCCACGTCCACGTCCACGTCCACGTCCACGTCCACGTCCACGTCCACGTCCACGTCCACGTCCACGTCCACGTCCACGTCCACGTCCACGTCCACGTCCACGTCCACGTCCACGTCCACGTCCACGTCCACGTCCACGTCCACGTCCACGTCCACGTCCACGTCCACGTCCACGTCCACGTCCACGTCCACGTCCACGTCCACGTCCACGTCCACGTCCACGTCCACGTCCACGTCCACGTCCACGTCCACGTCCACGTCCACGTCCACGTCCACGTCCACGTCCACGTCCACGTCCACGTCCACGTCCACGTCCACGTCCACGTCCACGTCCACGTCCACGTCCACGTCCACGTCCACGTCCACGTCCACGTCCACGTCCACGTCCACGTCCACGTCCACGTCCACGTCCACGTCCACGTCCACGTCCACGTCCACGTCCACGTCCACGTCCACGTCCACGTCCACGTCCACGTCCACGTCCACGTCCACGTCCACGTCCACGTCCACGTCCACGTCCACGTCCACGTCCACGTCCACGTCCACGTCCACGTCCACGTCCACGTCCACGTCCACGTCCATGTCCACGTCCACGTCCACGTCCACGTCCACGTCCACGTCCACGTCCACGTCCACGTCCACGTCCACGTCCACGTCCACGTCCACGTCCACGTCCACGTCCACGTCCACGTCCACGTCCACGTCCACGTCCACGTCCACGTCCACGTCCACGTCCACGTCCACGTCCACGTCCACGTCCACGTCCACGTCCACGTCCACGTCCACGTCCACGTCCACGTCCACGTCCACGTCCACGTCCACGTCCACGTCCACGTCCACGTCCACGTCCACGTCCACGTCCACGTCCACGTCCACGTCCACGTCCACGTCCACGTCCACGTCCACGTCCACGTCCACGTCCACGTCCACGTCCACGTCCACGTCCACGTCCACGTCCACGTCCACGTCCACGTCCACGTCCACGTCCACGTCCACGTCCACGTCCACGTCCACGTCCACGTCCACGTCCACGTCCACGTCCACGTCCACGTCCACGTCCACGTCCACGTCCACGTCCACGTCCACGTCCACGTCCACGTCCACGTCCACGTCCACGTCCACGTCCACGTCCACGTCCACGTCCACGTCCACGTCCACGTCCACGTCCACGTCCACGTCCACGTCCACGTCCACGTCCACGTCCACGTCCACGTCCACGTCCACGTCCACGTCCACGTCCACGTCCACGTCCACGTCCACGTCCACGTCCACGTCCACGTCCACGTCCACGTCCACGTCCACGTCCACGTCCACGTCCACGTCCACGTCCACGTCCACGTCCACGTCCACGTCCACGTCCACGTCCACGTCCACGTCCACGTCCACGTCCACGTCCACGTCCACGTCCACGTCCACGTCCACGTCCACGTCCACGTCCACGTCCACGTCCACGTCCACGTCCACGTCCACGTCCACGTCCACGTCCACGTCCACGTCCACGTCCACGTCCACGTCCACGTCCACGTCCACGTCCACGTCCACGTCCACGTCCACGTCCACGTCCACGTCCACGTCCACGTCCACGTCCACGTCCACGTCCACGTCCACGTCCACGTCCACGTCCACGTCCACGTCCACGTCACGTCCACGTCCACGTCCACGTCCACGTCCACGTCCACGTCCACGTCCACGTCCACGTCCACGTCCACGTCCACGTCCACGTCCACGTCCACGTCCACGTCCACGTCCACGTCCACGTCCACGTCCACGTCCACGTCCACGTCCACGTCCACGTCCACGTCCACGTCCACGTCCACGTCCACGTCCACGTCCACGTCCACGTCCACGTCCACGTCCACGTCCACGTCCACGTCCACGTCCACGTCCACGTCCACGTCCACGTCCACGTCCACGTCCACGTCCACGTCCACGTCCACGTCCACGTCCACGTCCACGTCCACGTCCACGTCCACGTCCACGTCCACGTCCACGTCCACGTCCACGTCCACGTCCACGTCCACGTCCACGTCCACGTCCACGTCCACGTCCACGTCCACGTCCACGTCCACGTCCACGTCCACGTCCACGTCCACGTCCACGTCCACGTCCACGTCCACGTCCACGTCCACGTCCACGTCCACGTCCACGTCCACGTCCACGTCCACGTCCACGTCCACGTCCACGTCCACGTCCACGTCCACGTCCACGTCCACGTCCACGTCCACGTCCACGTCCACGTCCACGTCCACGTCCACGTCCACGTCCACGTCCACGTCCACGTCCACGTCCACGTCCACGTCCACGTCCACGTCCACGTCCACGTCCACGTCCACGTCCACGTCCACGTCCACGTCCACGTCCACGTCCACGTCCACGTCCACGTCCACGTCCACGTCCACGTCCACGTCCACGTCCACGTCCACGTCCACGTCCACGTCCACGTCCACGTCCACGTCCACGTCCACGTCCACGTCCACGTCCACGTCCACGTCCACGTCCACGTCCACGTCCACGTCCACGTCCACGTCCACGTCCACGTCCACGTCCACGTCCACGTCCACGTCCACGTCCACGTCCACGTCCACGTCCACGTCCACGTCCACGTCCACGTCCACGTCCACGTCCACGTCCACGTCCACGTCCACGTCCACGTCCACGTCCACGTCCACGTCCACGTCCACGTCCACGTCCACGTCCACGTCCACGTCCACGTCCACGTCCACGTCCACGTCCACGTCCACGTCCACGTCCACGTCCACGTCCACGTCCACGTCCACGTCCACGTCCACGTCCACGTCCACGTCCACGTCCACGTCCACGTCCACGTCCACGTCCACGTCCACGTCCACGTCCACGTCCACGTCCACGTCCACGTCCACGTCCACGTCCACGTCCACGTCCACGTCCACGTCCACGTCCACGTCCACGTCCACGTCCACGTCCACGTCCACGTCCACGTCCACGTCCACGTCCACGTCCACGTCCACGTCCACGTCCACGTCCACGTCCACGTCCACGTCCACGTCCACGTCCACGTCCACGTCCACGTCCACGTCCACGTCCACGTCCACGTCCACGTCCACGTCCACGTCCACGTCCACGTCCACGTCCACGTCCACGTCCACGTCCACGTCCACGTCCACGTCCACGTCCACGTCCACGTCCACGTCCACGTCCACGTCCACGTCCACGTCCACGTCCACGTCCACGTCCGTCCACGTCCACGTCCACGTCCACGTCCACGTCCACGTCCACGTCCACGTCCACGTCCACGTCCACGTCCACGTCCACGTCCACGTCCACGTCCACGTCCACGTCCACGTCCACGTCCACGTCCACGTCCACGTCCACGTCCACGTCCACGTCCACGTCCACGTCCACGTCCACGTCCACGTCCACGTCCACGTCCACGTCCACGTCCACGTCCACGTCCACGTCCACGTCCACGTCCACGTCCACGTCCACGTCCACGTCCACGTCCACGTCCACGTCCACGTCCACGTCCACGTCCACGTCCACGTCCACGTCCACGTCCACGTCCACGTCCACGTCCACGTCCACGTCCACGTCCACGTCCACGTCCACGTCCACGTCCACGTCCACGTCCACGTCCACGTCCACGTCCACGTCCACGTCCACGTCCACGTCCACGTCCACGTCCACGTCCACGTCCACGTCCACGTCCACGTCCACGTCCACGTCCACGTCCACGTCCACGTCCACGTCCACGTCCACGTCCACGTCCACGTCCACGTCCACGTCCACGTCCACGTCCACGTCCACGTCCACGTCCACGTCCACGTCCACGTCCACGTCCACGTCCACGTCCACGTCCACGTCCACGTCCACGTCCACGTCCACGTCCACGTCCACGTCCACGTCCACGTCCACGTCCACGTCCACGTCCACGTCCACGTCCACGTCCACGTCCACGTCCACGTCCACGTCCACGTCCACGTCCACGTCCACGTCCACGTCCACGTCCACGTCCACGTCCACGTCCACGTCCACGTCCACGTCCACGTCCACGTCCACGTCCACGTCCACGTCCACGTCCACGTCCACGTCCACGTCCACGTCCACGTCCACGTCCACGTCCACGTCCACGTCCACGTCCACGTCCACGTCCACGTCCACGTCCACGTCCACGTCCACACGTCCACGTCCACGTCCACGTCCACGTCCACGTCCACGTCCACGTCCACGTCCACGTCCACGTCCACGTCCACGTCCACGTCCACGTCCACGTCCACGTCCACGTCCACGTCCACGTCCACGTCCACGTCCACGTCCACGTCCACGTCCACGTCCACGTCCACGTCCACGTCCACGTCCACGTCCACGTCCACGTCCACGTCCACGTCCACGTCCATGTCCACGTCACGTCCACGTCCACGTCCACGTCCACGTCCACGTCCACGTCCACGTCCACGTCCACGTCCACGTCCACGTCCACGTCCACGTCCACGTCCACGTCCACGTCCACGTCCACGTCCACGTCACGTCCACGTCCACGTCCACGTCCACGTCCACGTCCACGTCCACGTCCACGTCCACGTCCACGTCCACGTCCACGTCCACGTCACGTCCACGTCCACGTCCACGTCCACGTCCACGTCCACGTCCACGTCCACGTCCACGTCCACGTCCACGTCCACGTCCACGTCCACGTCCACGTCCACGTCCACGTCCACGTCCACGTCCACGTCCACGTCCACGTCCACGTCCACGTCCTCCACGTCCACGTCCACGTCCACGTCCACGTCCACGTCCACGTCCACGTCCACGTCCACGTCCACGTCCACGTCCACGTCCACGTCCACGTCCACGTCCACGTCCACGTCCACGTCCACGTCCACGTCCACGTCCACGTCCACGTCCACGTCCACGTCCACGTCCACGTCCACGTCCACGTCCACGTCCACGTCCACGTCCACGTCCACGTCCACGTCCACGTCCACGTCCACGTCCACGTCCACGTCCACGTCCACGTCCACGTCCACGTCCACGTCCACGTCCACGTCCACGTCCACGTCCACGTCCACGTCCACGTCCACGTCCACGTCCACGTCCACGTCCACGTCCACGTCCACGTCCACGTCCACGTCCACGTCCACGTCCACGTCCACGTCCACGTCCACGTCCACGTCCACGTCCACGTCCACGTCCACGTCCACGTCCACGTCCACGTCCACGTCCACGTCCACGTCCACGTCCACGTCCACGTCCACGTCCACGTCCACGTCCACGTCCACGTCCACGTCCACGTCCACGTCCACGTCCACGTCCACGTCCACGTCCACGTCCACGTCCACGTCCACGTCCACGTCCACGTCCACGTCCACGTCCACGTCCACGTCCACGTCCACGTCCACGTCCACGTCCACGTCCACGTCCACGTCCACGTCCACGTCCACGTCCACGTCCACGTCCACGTCCACGTCCACGTCCACGTCCACGTCCACGTCCACGTCCACGTCCACGTCCACGTCCACGTCCACGTCCACGTCCACGTCCACGTCCACGTCCACGTCCACGTCCACGTCCACGTCCACGTCCACGTCCACGTCCACGTCCACGTCCACGTCCACGTCCACGTCCACGTCCACGTCCACGTCCACGTCCACGTCCACGTCCACGTCCACGTCCACGTCCACGTCCACGTCCACGTCCACGTCCACGTCCACGTCCACGTCCACGTCCACGTCCACGTCCACGTCCACGTCCACGTCCACGTCCACGTCCACGTCCACGTCCACGTCCACGTCCACGTCCACGTCCACGTCCACGTCCACGTCCACGTCCACGTCCACGTCCGTCCACGTCCACGTCCACGTCCACGTCCACGTCCACGTCCACGTCCACGTCCACGTCCACGTCCACGTCCACGTCCACGTCCACGTCCACGTCCACGTCCACGTCCACGTCCACGTCCACGTCCACGTCCACGTCCACGTCCACGTCCACGTCCACGTCCACGTCCACGTCCACGTCCACGTCCACGTCCACGTCCACGTCCACGTCCACGTCCACGTCCACGTCCACGTCCACGTCCACGTCCACGTCCACGTCCACGTCCACGTCCACGTCCACGTCCACGTCCACGTCCACGTCCACGTCCACGTCCACGTCCACGTCCACGTCCACGTCCACGTCCACGTCCACGTCCACGTCCACGTCCACGTCCACGTCCACGTCCACGTCCACGTCCACGTCCACGTCCACGTCCACGTCCACGTCCGTCCACGTCCACGTCCACGTCCACGTCCACGTCCACGTCCACGTCCACGTCCACGTCCACGTCCACGTCCACGTCCACGTCCACGTCCACGTCCACGTCCACGTCCACGTCCACGTCCACGTCCACGTCCACGTCCACGTCCACGTCCACGTCCACGTCCACGTCCACGTCCACGTCCACGTCCACGTCCACGTCCACGTCCACGTCCACGTCCACGTCCACGTCCACGTCCACGTCCACGTCCACGTCCACGTCCACGTCCACGTCCACGTCCACGTCCACGTCCACGTCCACGTCCACGTCCACGTCCACGTCCACGTCCACGTCCACGTCCACGTCCACGTCCACGTCCACGTCCACGTCCACGTCCACGTCCACGTCCACGTCCACGTCCACGTCCACGTCCACGTCCACGTCCACGTCCACGTCCACGTCCACGTCCACGTCCGTCCACGTCCACGTCCACGTCCACGTCCACGTCCACGTCCACGTCCACGTCCACGTCCACGTCCACGTCCACGTCCACGTCCACGTCCACGTCCACGTCCACGTCCACGTCCACGTCCACGTCCACGTCCACGTCCACGTCCACGTCCACGTCCACGTCCACGTCCACGTCCACGTCCACGTCCACGTCCACGTCCACGTCCACGTCCACGTCCACGTCCACGTCCACGTCCACGTCCACGTCCACGTCCACGTCCACGTCCACGTCCACGTCCACGTCCACGTCCACGTCCACGTCCACGTCCACGTCCACGTCCACGTCCACGTCCACGTCCACGTCCACGTCCACGTCCACGTCCACGTCCACGTCCACGTCCACGTCCACGTCCACGTCCACGTCCACGTCCACGTCCACGTCCACGTCCACGTCCACGTCCACGTCCACGTCCACGTCCACGTCCACGTCCACGTCCACGTCCACGTCCACGTCCACGTCCACGTCCACGTCCACGTCCACGTCCACGTCCACGTCCACGTCCACGTCCACGTCCACGTCCACGTCCACGTCCACGTCCACGTCCACGTCCACGTCCACGTCCACGTCCACGTCCACGTCCACGTCCACGTCCACGTCCACGTCCACGTCCACGTCCACGTCCACGTCCACGTCCACGTCCACGTCCACGTCCACGTCCACGTCCACGTCCACGTCCACGTCCACGTCCACGTCCACGTCCACGTCCACGTCCACGTCCACGTCCACGTCCACGTCCACGTCCACGTCCACGTCCACGTCCACGTCCACGTCCACGTCCACGTCCACGTCCACGTCCACGTCCACGTCCACGTCCACGTCCACGTCCACGTCCACGTCCACGTCCACGTCCACGTCCACGTCCACGTCCACGTCCACGTCCACGTCCACGTCCACGTCCACGTCCACGTCCACGTCCACGTCCACGTCCACGTCCACGTCCACGTCCACGTCCACGTCCACGTCCACGTCCACGTCCACGTCCACGTCCACGTCCACGTCCACGTCCACGTCCACGTCCACGTCCACGTCCACGTCCACGTCCACGTCCACGTCCACGTCCACGTCCACGTCCACGTCCACGTCCACGTCCATGTCCACGTCCACGTCCACGTCCACGTCCACGTCCACGTCCACGTCCACGTCCACGTCCACGTCCACGTCCACGTCCACGTCCACGTCCACGTCCACGTCCACGTCCACGTCCACGTCCACGTCCACGTCCACGTCCACGTCCACGTCCACGTCCACGTCCACGTCCACGTCCACGTCCACGTCCACGTCCACGTCCACGTCCACGTCCACGTCCACGTCCACGTCCACGTCCACGTCCACGTCCACGTCCACGTCCACGTCCACGTCCACGTCCACGTCCACGTCCACGTCCACGTCCACGTCCACGTCCACGTCCACGTCCACGTCCACGTCCACGTCCACGTCCACGTCCACGTCCACGTCCACGTCCACGTCCACGTCCACGTCCACGTCCACGTCCGTCCACGTCCACGTCCACGTCCACGTCCACGTCCACGTCCACGTCCACGTCCACGTCCACGTCCACGTCCACGTCCACGTCCACGTCCACGTCCACGTCCACGTCCACGTCCACGTCCACGTCCACGTCCACGTCCACGTCCACGTCCACGTCCACGTCCACGTCCACGTCCACGTCCACGTCCACGTCCACGTCCACGTCCACGTCCACGTCCACGTCCACGTCCACGTCCACGTCCACGTCCACGTCCACGTCCACGTCCACGTCCACGTCCACGTCCACGTCCACGTCCACGTCCACGTCCACGTCCACGTCCACGTCCACGTCCACGTCCACGTCCACGTCCACGTCCACGTCCACGTCCACGTCCACGTCCACGTCCACGTCCACGTCCACGTCCACGTCCACGTCCACGTCCACGTCCACGTCCACGTCCACGTCCACGTCCGTCCACGTCCACGTCCACGTCCACGTCCACGTCCACGTCCACGTCCACGTCCACGTCCACGTCCACGTCCACGTCCACGTCCACGTCCACGTCCACGTCCACGTCCACGTCCACGTCCACGTCCACGTCCACGTCCACGTCCACGTCCACGTCCACGTCCACGTCCACGTCCACGTCCACGTCCACGTCCACGTCCACGTCCACGTCCACGTCCACGTCCACGTCCACGTCCACGTCCACGTCCACGTCCACGTCCACGTCCACGTCCACGTCCACGTCCACGTCCACGTCCACGTCCACGTCCACGTCCACGTCCACGTCCTCCACGTCCACGTCCACGTCCACGTCCACGTCCACGTCCACGTCCACGTCCACGTCCACGTCCACGTCCACGTCCACGTCCACGTCCACGTCCACGTCCACGTCCACGTCCACGTCCACGTCCACGTCCACGTCCACGTCCACGTCCACGTCCACGTCCACGTCCACGTCCACGTCCACGTCACGTCCACGTCCACGTCCACGTCCACGTCCACGTCCACGTCCACGTCCACGTCCACGTCCACGTCCACGTCCACGTCCACGTCCACGTCCACGTCCACGTCCACGTCCACGTCCACGTCCACGTCCACGTCCACGTCCACGTCCACGTCCACGTCCACGTCCACGTCCACGTCCACGTCCACGTCCACGTCCACGTCCACGTCCACGTCCACGTCCACGTCCACGTCCACGTCCACGTCCACGTCCACGTCCACGTCCACGTCCACGTCCACGTCCACGTCCACGTCCACGTCCACGTCCACGTCCACGTCCACGTCCACGTCCACGTCCACGTCCACGTCCACGTCCACGTCCACGTCCACGTCCACGTCCACGTCCACGTCCACGTCCACGTCCACGTCCACGTCCACGTCCACGTCCACGTCCACGTCCACGTCCACGTCCACGTCCACGTCCACGTCCACGTCCACGTCCACGTCCACGTCCACGTCCACGTCCACGTCCACGTCCACGTCCACGTCCACGTCCACGTCCACGTCCACGTCCACGTCCACGTCCACGTCCACGTCCACGTCCACGTCCACGTCCACGTCCACGTCCACGTCCACGTCCACGTCCACGTCCACGTCCACGTCCACGTCCACGTCCACGTCCACGTCCACGTCCACGTCCACGTCCACGTCCACGTCCACGTCCACGTCCACGTCCACGTCCACGTCCACGTCCACGTCCACGTCCACGTCCACGTCCACGTCCACGTCCACGTCCACGTCCACGTCCACGTCCACGTCCACGTCCACGTCCACGTCCACGTCCACGTCCACGTCCACGTCCACGTCCACGTCCACGTCCACGTCCACGTCCACGTCCACGTCCACGTCCACGTCCACGTCCACGTCCACGTCCACGTCCACGTCCACGTCCACGTCCACGTCCACGTCCACGTCCACGTCCACGTCCACGTCCACGTCCACGTCCACGTCCACGTCCACGTCCACGTCCACGTCCACGTCCACGTCCACGTCCACGTCCACGTCCACGTCCACGTCCACGTCCACGTCCACGTCCACGTCCACGTCCACGTCCACGTCCACGTCCACGTCCACGTCCACGTCCACGTCCACGTCCACGTCCACGTCCACGTCCACGTCCACGTCCACGTCCACGTCCACGTCCACGTCCACGTCCACGTCCACGTCCACGTCCACGTCCACGTCCACGTCCACGTCCACGTCCACGTCCACGTCCACGTCCACGTCCACGTCCACGTCCACGTCCACGTCCACGTCCACGTCCACGTCCACGTCCACGTCCACGTCCACGTCCACGTCCACGTCCACGTCCACGTCCACGTCCACGTCCACGTCCACGTCCACGTCCACGTCCACGTCCACGTCCACGTCCACGTCCACGTCCACGTCCACGTCCACGTCCACGTCCACGTCCACGTCCACGTCCACGTCCACGTCCACGTCCACGTCCACGTCCACGTCCACGTCCACGTCCGTCCACGTCCACGTCCACGTCCACGTCCACGTCCACGTCCACGTCCACGTCCACGTCCACGTCCACGTCCACGTCCACGTCCACGTCCACGTCCACGTCCACGTCCACGTCCACGTCCACGTCCACGTCCACGTCCACGTCCACGTCCACGTCCACGTCCACGTCCACGTCCACGTCCACGTCCACGTCCACGTCCACGTCCACGTCCACGTCCACGTCCACGTCCACGTCCACGTCCACGTCCACGTCCACGTCCACGTCCACGTCCACGTCACGTCCACGTCCACGTCCACGTCCACGTCCACGTCCACGTCCACGTCCACGTCCACGTCCACGTCCACGTCCACGTCCACGTCCACGTCCACGTCCACGTCCACGTCCACGTCCACGTCCACGTCCACGTCCACGTCCACGTCCACGTCCACGTCCACGTCCACGTCCACGTCCACGTCCACGTCCACGTCCACGTCCACGTCCACGTCCACGTCCACGTCCACGTCCACGTCCACGTCCACGTCCACGTCCACGTCCACGTCCACGTCCACGTCCACGTCCACGTCCACGTCCACGTCCACGTCCACGTCCACGTCCACGTCCACGTCCACGTCCACGTCCACGTCCACGTCCACGTCCACGTCCACGTCCACGTCCACGTCCACGTCCACGTCCACGTCCACGTCCACGTCCACGTCCACGTCCACGTCCACGTCCACGTCCACGTCCACGTCCACGTCCACGTCCACGTCCACGTCCACGTCCACGTCCACGTCCACGTCCACGTCCACGTCCACGTCCACGTCCACGTCCACGTCCACGTCCACGTCCACGTCCACGTCCACGTCCACGTCCACGTCCACGTCCACGTCCACGTCCACGTCCACGTCCACGTCCACGTCCACGTCCACGTCCACGTCCACGTCCACGTCCACGTCCACGTCCACGTCCACGTCCACGTCCACGTCCACGTCCACGTCCACGTCCACGTCCACGTCCACGTCCACGTCCACGTCCACGTCCACGTCCACGTCCACGTCCACGTCCACGTCCACGTCCACGTCCACGTCCACGTCCACGTCCACGTCCACGTCCACGTCCACGTCCACGTCCACGTCCACGTCCACGTCCACGTCCACGTCCACGTCCACGTCCACGTCCACGTCCACGTCCACGTCCACGTCCACGTCCACGTCCACGTCCACGTCCACGTCCACGTCCACGTCCACGTCCACGTCCACGTCCACGTCCACGTCCACGTCCACGTCCACGTCCACGTCCACGTCCACGTCCACGTCCACGTCCACGTCCACGTCCACGTCCACGTCCACGTCCACGTCCACGTCCACGTCCACGTCCACGTCCACGTCCACGTCCACGTCCACGTCCACGTCCACGTCCACGTCCACGTCCACGTCCACGTCCACGTCCACGTCCACGTCCACGTCCACGTCCACGTCCACGTCCACGTCCACGTCCACGTCCACGTCCACGTCCACGTCCACGTCCACGTCCACGTCCACGTCCACGTCCACGTCCACGTCCACGTCCACGTCCACGTCCACGTCCACGTCCACGTCCACGTCCACGTCCACGTCCACGTCCACGTCCACGTCCACGTCCACGTCCACGTCCACGTCCACGTCCACGTCCACGTCCACGTCCACGTCCACGTCCACGTCCACGTCCACGTCCACGTCCACGTCCACGTCCACGTCCACGTCCACGTCATCCACGTCCACGTCCACGTCCACGTCCACGTCGTCCACGTCCACGTCCACGTCCACGTCGTCCACGTCCACGTCCACGTCCACGTCCACGTCCACGTCCACGTCCACGTCCACGTCCACGTCCACGTCCACGTCCACGTCCACGTCCACGTCCACGTCCACGTCCACGTCCACGTCCACGTCCCCACGTCCACGTCCACGTCCACGTCCACGTCCACGTCCACGTCCACGTCCACGTCCACGTCCACGTCCACGTCCACGTCCACGTCCACGTCCACGTCCACGTCCACGTCCACGTCCACGTCCACGTCGTCCACGTCCACGTCCACGTCCACGTCCACGTCCACGTCCACGTCCACGTCCACGTCCACGTCCACGTCCACGTCCACGTCCACGTCCACGTCCACGTCCACGTCCACGTCCACGTCCACGTCCACGTCCACGTCCACGTCCACGTCCACGTCCACGTCCACGTCCACGTCCACGTCCACGTCCACGTCCACGTCCACGTCCACGTCCACGTCCACGTCCACGTCCACGTCCACGTCCACGTCCACGTCCACGTCCACGTCCACGTCCACGTCCACGTCCACGTCCACGTCCACGTCCACGTCCACGTCCACGTCCACGTCCACGTCCACGTCCACGTCCACGTCCACGTCCACGTCCACGTCCACGTCCACGTCCACGTCCACGTCCACGTCCACGTCCACGTCCACGTCCACGTCCACGTCCACGTCCACGTCCACGTCCACGTCCACGTCCACGTCCACGTCCACGTCCACGTCCACGTCCACGTCCACGTCCACGTCCACGTCCACGTCCACGTCCACGTCCACGTCCACGTCCACGTCCACGTCCACGTCCACGTCCACGTCCACGTCCACGTCCACGTCCACGTCCACGTCCACGTCCACGTCCACGTCCACGTCCACGTCCACGTCCACGTCCACGTCCACGTCCACGTCCACGTCCACGTCCACGTCCACGTCCACGTCCACGTCCACGTCCACGTCCACGTCCACGTCCACGTCCACGTCCACGTCCACGTCCACGTCCACGTCCACGTCCACGTCCACGTCCACGTCCACGTCCACGTCCACGTCCACGTCCACGTCCACGTCCACGTCCACGTCCACGTCCACGTCCACGTCCACGTCCACGTCCACGTCCACGTCCACGTCCACGTCCACGTCCACGTCCACGTCCACGTCCACGTCCACGTCCACGTCCACGTCCACGTCCACGTCCACGTCCACGTCCACGTCACGTCCACGTCCACGTCCACGTCCACGTCCACGTCCACGTCCACGTCCACGTCCACGTCCACGTCCACGTCCACGTCCACGTCCACGTCCACGTCCACGTCCACGTCCACGTCCACGTCCACGTCCACGTCCACGTCCACGTCCACGTCCACGTCCACGTCCACGTCCACGTCCACGTCCACGTCCACGTCCACGTCCACGTCCACGTCCACGTCCACGTCCACGTCCACGTCCACGTCCACGTCCACGTCCACGTCCACGTCCACGTCCACGTCCACGTCCACGTCCACGTCCACGTCCACGTCCACGTCCACGTCCACGTCCACGTCCACGTCCACGTCCACGTCCACGTCCACGTCCACGTCCACGTCCACGTCCACGTCCACGTCCACGTCCACGTCCACGTCCACGTCCACGTCCACGTCCACGTCCACGTCCACGTCCACGTCCACGTCCACGTCCACGTCCACGTCCACGTCCACGTCCACGTCCACGTCCACGTCCACGTCCACGTCCACGTCCACGTCCACGTCCACGTCCACGTCCACGTCCACGTCCACGTCCACGTCCACGTCCACGTCCACGTCCACGTCCACGTCCACGTCCACGTCCACGTCCACGTCCACGTCCACGTCCACGTCCACGTCCACGTCCACGTCCACGTCCACGTCCACGTCCACGTCCACGTCCACGTCCACGTCCACGTCCACGTCCACGTCCACGTCCACGTCCACGTCCACGTCCACGTCCACGTCCACGTCCACGTCCACGTCCACGTCCACGTCCACGTCCACGTCCACGTCCACGTCCACGTCCACGTCCACGTCCACGTCCACGTCCACGTCCACGTCCACGTCCACGTCCACGTCCACGTCCACGTCCACGTCCACGTCCACGTCCACGTCCACGTCCACGTCCACGTCCACGTCCACGTCCACGTCCACGTCCACGTCCACGTCCACGTCCACGTCCACGTCCACGTCCACGTCCACGTCCACGTCCACGTCCACGTCCACGTCCACGTCCACGTCCACGTCCACGTCCACGTCCACGTCCACGTCCACGTCCACGTCCACGTCCACGTCCACGTCCACGTCCACGTCCACGTCCACGTCCACGTCCACGTCCACGTCCACGTCCACGTCCACGTCCACGTCCACGTCCACGTCCACGTCCACGTCCACGTCCACGTCCACGTCCACGTCCACGTCCACGTCCACGTCCACGTCCACGTCCACGTCCACGTCCACGTCCACGTCCACGTCCACGTCCACGTCCACGTCCACGTCCACGTCCACGTCCACGTCCACGTCCACGTCCACGTCCACGTCCACGTCCACGTCCACGTCCACGTCCACGTCCACGTCCACGTCCACGTCCACGTCCACGTCCACGTCCACGTCCACGTCCACGTCCACGTCCACGTCCACGTCCACGTCCACGTCCACGTCCACGTCCACGTCCACGTCCACGTCCACGTCCACGTCCACGTCCACGTCCACGTCCACGTCCACGTCCACGTCCACGTCCACGTCCACGTCCACGTCCACGTCCACGTCCACGTCCACGTCCACGTCCACGTCCACGTCCACGTCCACGTCCACGTCCACGTCCACGTCCACGTCCACGTCCACGTCCACGTCCACGTCCACGTCCACGTCCACGTCCACGTCCACGTCCACGTCCACGTCCACGTCCACGTCCACGTCCACGTCCACGTCCACGTCCACGTCCACGTCCACGTCCACGTCCACGTCCACGTCCACGTCCACGTCCACGTCCACGTCCACGTCCACGTCCACGTCCACGTCCACGTCCACGTCCACGTCCACGTCCACGTCCACGTCCACGTCCACGTCCACGTCCACGTCCACGTCCACGTCCACGTCCACGTCCACGTCCACGTCCACGTCCACGTCCACGTCCACGTCCACGTCCACGTCCACGTCCACGTCCACGTCCACGTCCACGTCCACGTCCACGTCCACGTCCACGTCCACGTCCACGTCCACGTCCACGTCCACGTCCACGTCCACGTCCACGTCCACGTCCACGTCCACGTCCACGTCCACGTCCACGTCCACGTCCACGTCCACGTCCACGTCCACGTCCACGTCCACGTCCACGTCCACGTCCACGTCCACGTCCACGTCCACGTCCACGTCCACGTCCACGTCCACGTCCACGTCCACGTCCACGTCCACGTCCACGTCCACGTCCACGTCCACGTCCACGTCCACGTCCACGTCCACGTCCACGTCCACGTCCACGTCCACGTCCACGTCCACGTCCACGTCCACGTCCACGTCCACGTCCACGTCCACGTCCACGTCCACGTCCACGTCCACGTCCACGTCCACGTCCACGTCCACGTCCACGTCCACGTCCACGTCCACGTCCACGTCCACGTCCACGTCCACGTCCACGTCCACGTCCACGTCCACGTCCACGTCCACGTCCACGTCCACGTCCACGTCCACGTCCACGTCCACGTCCACGTCCACGTCCACGTCCACGTCCACGTCCACGTCCACGTCCACGTCCACGTCCACGTCCACGTCCACGTCCACGTCCACGTCCACGTCCACGTCCACGTCCACGTCCACGTCCACGTCCACGTCCACGTCCACGTCCACGTCCACGTCCACGTCCACGTCCACGTCCACGTCCACGTCCACGTCCACGTCCACGTCCACGTCCACGTCCACGTCCACGTCCACGTCCACGTCCACGTCCACGTCCACGTCCACGTCCACGTCCACGTCCACGTCCACGTCCACGTCCACGTCCACGTCCACGTCCACGTCCACGTCCACGTCCACGTCCACGTCCACGTCCACGTCCACGTCCACGTCCACGTCCACGTCCACGTCCACGTCCACGTCCACGTCCACGTCCACGTCCACGTCCACGTCCACGTCCACGTCCACGTCCACGTCCACGTCCACGTCCACGTCCACGTCCACGTCCACGTCCACGTCCACGTCCACGTCCACGTCCACGTCCACGTCCACGTCCACGTCCACGTCCACGTCCACGTCCACGTCCACGTCCACGTCCACGTCCACGTCCACGTCCACGTCCACGTCCACGTCCACGTCCACGTCCACGTCCACGTCCACGTCCACGTCCACGTCCACGTCCACGTCCACGTCCACGTCCACGTCCACGTCCACGTCCACGTCCACGTCCACGTCCACGTCCACGTCCACGTCCACGTCCACGTCCACGTCCACGTCCACGTCCACGTCCACGTCCACGTCCACGTCCACGTCCACGTCCACGTCCACGTCCACGTCCACGTCCACGTCCACGTCCACGTCCACGTCCACGTCCACGTCCACGTCCACGTCCACGTCCACGTCCACGTCCACGTCCACGTCCACGTCCACGTCCACGTCCACGTCCACGTCCACGTCCACGTCCACGTCCACGTCCACGTCCACGTCCACGTCCACGTCCACGTCCACGTCCACGTCCACGTCCACGTCCACGTCCACGTCCACGTCCACGTCCACGTCCACGTCCACGTCCACGTCCACGTCCACGTCCACGTCCACGTCCACGTCCACGTCCACGTCCACGTCCACGTCCACGTCCACGTCCACGTCCACGTCCACGTCCACGTCCACGTCCACGTCCACGTCCACGTCCACGTCCACGTCCACGTCCACGTCCACGTCCACGTCCACGTCCACGTCCACGTCCACGTCCACGTCCACGTCCACGTCCACGTCCACGTCCACGTCCACGTCCACGTCCACGTCCACGTCCACGTCCACGTCCACGTCCACGTCCACGTCCACGTCCACGTCCACGTCCACGTCCACGTCCACGTCCACGTCCACGTCCACGTCCACGTCCACGTCCACGTCCACGTCCACGTCCACCACGTCCACGTCCACGTCCACGTCCACGTCCACGTCCACGTCCACGTCCACGTCCACGTCCACGTCCACGTCCACGTCCACGTCCACGTCCACGTCCACGTCCACGTCCACGTCCACGTCCACGTCCACGTCCACGTCCACGTCCACGTCCACGTCCACGTCCACGTCCACGTCCACGTCCACGTCCACGTCCACGTCCACGTCCACGTCCACGTCCACGTCCACGTCCACGTCCACGTCCACGTCCACGTCCACGTCCACGTCCACGTCCACGTCCACGTCCACGTCCACGTCCACGTCCACGTCCACGTCCACGTCCACGTCCACGTCCACGTCCACGTCCACGTCCACGTCCACGTCCACGTCCACGTCCACGTCCACGTCCACGTCCACGTCCATGTCCACGTCCACGTCCACGTCCACGTCCCCACGTCCACGTCCACGTCCACGTCCACGTCCACGTCCACGTCCACGTCCACGTCCACGTCCACGTCCACGTCCACGTCCACGTCCACGTCCACGTCCACGTCCACGTCCACGTCCACGTCCACGTCCACGTCCACGTCCACGTCCACGTCCACGTCCACGTCCACGTCCACGTCCACGTCCACGTCCACGTCCACGTCCACGTCCACGTCCACGTCCACGTCCACGTCCACGTCCACGTCCACGTCCACGTCCACGTCCACGTCCACGTCCACGTCCACGTCCACGTCCACGTCCACGTCCACGTCCACGTCCACGTCCACGTCCACGTCCACGTCCACGTCCACGTCCACGTCCACGTCCACGTCCACGTCCACGTCCACGTCCACGTCCACGTCCACGTCCACGTCCACGTCCACGTCCACGTCCACGTCCACGTCCACGTCCACGTCCACGTCCACGTCCACGTCCACGTCCACGTCCACGTCCACGTCCACGTCCACGTCCACGTCCACGTCCACGTCCACGTCCACGTCCACGTCCACGTCCACGTCCACGTCCACGTCCACGTCCACGTCCACGTCCACGTCCACGTCCACGTCCACGTCCACGTCCACGTCCACGTCCACGTCCACGTCCACGTCCACGTCCACGTCCACGTCCACGTCCACGTCCACGTCCACGTCCACGTCCACGTCCACGTCCACGTCCACGTCCACGTCCACGTCCACGTCCTCCACGTCCACGTCCACGTCCACGTCCACGTCCACGTCCACGTCCACGTCCACGTCCACGTCCACGTCCACGTCCACGTCCACGTCCACGTCCACGTCCACGTCCACGTCCACGTCCACGTCCACGTCCACGTCCACGTCCACGTCCACGTCCACGTCCACGTCCACGTCCACGTCCACGTCCACGTCCACGTCCACGTCCACGTCCACGTCCACGTCCACGTCCACGTCCACGTCCACGTCCACGTCCACGTCCACGTCCACGTCCACGTCCACGTCCACGTCCACGTCCACGTCCACGTCCACGTCCACGTCCACGTCCACGTCCACGTCCACGTCACGTCCACGTCCACGTCCACGTCCACGTCCACGTCCACGTCCACGTCCACGTCCACGTCCACGTCCACGTCCACGTCCACGTCCACGTCCACGTCCACGTCCACGTCCACGTCCACGTCCACGTCCACGTCCACGTCCACGTCCACGTCCACGTCCACGTCCACGTCCACGTCCACGTCCACGTCCACGTCCACGTCCACGTCCACGTCCACGTCCACGTCCACGTCCACGTCCACGTCCACGTCCACGTCCACGTCCACGTCCACGTCCACGTCCACGTCCACGTCCACGTCCACGTCCACGTCCACGTCCACGTCCACGTCCACGTCCACGTCCACGTCCACGTCCACGTCCACGTCCACGTCCACGTCCACGTCCACGTCCACGTCCACGTCCACGTCCACGTCCACGTCCACGTCCACGTCCACGTCCACGTCCACGTCCACGTCCACGTCCACGTCCACGTCCACGTCCACGTCCACGTCCACGTCCACGTCCACGTCCACGTCCACGTCCACGTCCACGTCCACGTCCACGTCCACGTCCACGTCCACGTCCACGTCCACGTCCACGTCCACGTCCACGTCCACGTCCACGTCCACGTCCACGTCCACGTCCACGTCCACGTCCACGTCCACGTCCACGTCCACGTCCACGTCCACGTCCACGTCCACGTCCACGTCCACGTCCACGTCCACGTCCACGTCCACGTCCACGTCCACGTCCACGTCCACGTCCACGTCCACGTCCACGTCCACGTCCACGTCCACGTCCACGTCCACGTCCACGTCCACGTCCACGTCCACGTCCACGTCCACGTCCACGTCCACGTCCACGTCCACGTCCACGTCCACGTCCACGTCCACGTCCACGTCCACGTCCACGTCCACGTCCACGTCCACGTCCACGTCCACGTCCACGTCCACGTCCACGTCCACGTCCACGTCCACGTCCACGTCCACGTCCACGTCCACGTCCACGTCCACGTCCACGTCCACGTCCACGTCCACGTCCACGTCCACGTCCACGTCCACGTCCACGTCCACGTCCACGTCCACGTCCACGTCCACGTCCACGTCCACGTCCACGTCCACGTCCACGTCCACGTCCACGTCCACGTCCACGTCCACGTCCACGTCCACGTCCACGTCCACGTCCACGTCCACGTCCACGTCCACGTCCACGTCCACGTCCACGTCCACGTCCACGTCCACGTCCACGTCCACGTCCACGTCCACGTCCACGTCCACGTCCACGTCCACGTCCACGTCCACGTCCACGTCCACGTCCACGTCCACGTCCACGTCCACGTCCACGTCCACGTCCACGTCCACGTCCACGTCCACGTCCACGTCCACGTCCACGTCCACGTCCACGTCCACGTCCACGTCCACGTCCACGTCCACGTCCACGTCCACGTCCACGTCCACGTCCACGTCCACGTCCACGTCCACGTCCACGTCCACGTCCACGTCCACGTCCACGTCCACGTCCACGTCCACGTCCACGTCCACGTCCACGTCCACGTCCACGTCCACGTCCACGTCCACGTCCACGTCCACGTCCACGTCCACGTCCACGTCCACGTCCACGTCCACGTCCACGTCCACGTCCACGTCCACGTCCACGTCCACGTCCACGTCCACGTCCACGTCCACGTCCACGTCCACGTCCACGTCCACGTCCACGTCCACGTCCACGTCCACGTCCACGTCCACGTCCACGTCCACGTCCACGTCCACGTCCACGTCCACGTCCACGTCCACGTCCACGTCCACGTCCACGTCCACGTCCACGTCCACGTCCACGTCCACGTCCACGTCCACGTCCACGTCCACGTCCACGTCCACGTCCACGTCCACGTCCACGTCCTCCACGTCCACGTCCACGTCCACGTCCACGTCCACGTCCACGTCCACGTCCACGTCCACGTCCACGTCCACGTCCACGTCCACGTCCACGTCCACGTCCACGTCCACGTCCACGTCCACGTCCACGTCCACGTCCACGTCCACGTCCACGTCCACGTCCACGTCCACGTCCACGTCCACGTCCACGTCCACGTCCACGTCCACGTCCACGTCCACGTCCACGTCCACGTCCACGTCCACGTCCACGTCCACGTCCACGTCCACGTCCATGTCCACGTCCACGTCCACGTCCACGTCCACGTCCACGTCCACGTCCACGTCCACGTCCACGTCCACGTCCACGTCCACGTCCACGTCCACGTCCACGTCCACGTCCACGTCCACGTCCACGTCCACGTCCACGTCCACGTCCACGTCCACGTCCACGTCCACGTCCACGTCCACGTCCACGTCCACGTCCACGTCCACGTCCACGTCCACGTCCACGTCCACGTCCACGTCCACGTCCACGTCCACGTCCACGTCCACGTCCACGTCCACGTCCACGTCCACGTCCACGTCCACGTCCACGTCCACGTCCACGTCCACGTCCACGTCCACGTCCACGTCCACGTCCACGTCCACGTCCACGTCCACGTCCACGTCCACGTCCACGTCCACGTCCACGTCCACGTCCACGTCCACGTCCACGTCCACGTCCACGTCCACGTCCACGTCCACGTCCACGTCCACGTCCACGTCCACGTCCACGTCCACGTCCACGTCCACGTCCACGTCCACGTCCACGTCCACGTCCACGTCCACGTCCACGTCCACGTCCACGTCCCCACGTCCACGTCCACGTCCACGTCCACGTCCACGTCCACGTCCACGTCCACGTCCACGTCCACGTCCACGTCCACGTCCACGTCCACGTCCACGTCCACGTCCACGTCCACGTCCACGTCCACGTCCACGTCCACGTCCACGTCCACGTCCACGTCCACGTCCACGTCCACGTCCACGTCCACGTCCACGTCCACGTCCACGTCCACGTCCACGTCCACGTCCACGTCCACGTCCACGTCCACGTCCACGTCCACGTCCACGTCCACGTCCACGTCCACGTCCACGTCCACGTCCACGTCCACGTCCACGTCCACGTCCACGTCCACGTCCACGTCCACGTCCACGTCCACGTCCACGTCCACGTCCACGTCCACGTCCACGTCCACGTCCACGTCCACGTCCACGTCCACGTCCACGTCCACGTCCACGTCCACGTCCACGTCCACGTCCACGTCCACGTCCACGTCCACGTCCACGTCCACGTCCACGTCCACGTCCACGTCCACGTCCACGTCCACGTCCACGTCCACGTCCACGTCCACGTCCACGTCCACGTCCACGTCCACGTCCACGTCCACGTCCACGTCCACGTCCACGTCCACGTCCACGTCCACGTCCACGTCCACGTCCACGTCCACGTCCACGTCCACGTCCACGTCCACGTCCACGTCCACGTCCACGTCCACGTCCACGTCCACGTCCACGTCCACGTCCACGTCCACGTCCACGTCCACGTCCACGTCCACGTCCACGTCCACGTCCACGTCCACGTCCACGTCCACGTCCACGTCCACGTCCACGTCCACGTCCACGTCCACGTCCACGTCCACGTCCACGTCCACGTCCACGTCCACGTCCACGTCCACGTCCACGTCCACGTCCACGTCCACGTCCACGTCCACGTCCACGTCCACGTCCACGTCCACGTCCACGTCCACGTCCACGTCCACGTCCACGTCCACGTCCACGTCCACGTCCACGTCCACGTCCACGTCCACGTCCACGTCCACGTCCACGTCCGTCCACGTCCACGTCCACGTCCACGTCCACGTCCACGTCCACGTCCACGTCCACGTCCACGTCCACGTCCACGTCCACGTCCACGTCCACGTCCACGTCCACGTCCACGTCCACGTCCACGTCCACGTCCACGTCCACGTCCACGTCCACGTCCACGTCCACGTCCACGTCCACGTCCACGTCCACGTCCACGTCCACGTCCACGTCCACGTCCACGTCCACGTCCACGTCCACGTCCACGTCCACGTCCACGTCCACGTCCACGTCCACGTCCACGTCCACGTCCACGTCCACGTCCACGTCCACGTCCACGTCCACGTCCACGTCCACGTCCACGTCCACGTCCACGTCCACGTCCACGTCCACGTCCACGTCCACGTCCACGTCCACGTCCACGTCCACGTCCACGTCCACGTCCACGTCCACGTCCACGTCCACGTCCACGTCCACGTCCACGTCCACGTCCACGTCCACGTCCACGTCCACGTCCACGTCCACGTCCACGTCCACGTCCACGTCCACGTCCACGTCCACGTCCACGTCCACGTCCACGTCCACGTCCACGTCCACGTCCACGTCCACGTCCACGTCCACGTCCACGTCCACGTCCACGTCCACGTCCACGTCCACGTCCACGTCCACGTCCACGTCCACGTCCACGTCCACGTCCACGTCACGTCCACGTCCACGTCCACGTCCACGTCCACGTCCACGTCCACGTCCACGTCCACGTCCACGTCCACGTCCACGTCCACGTCCACGTCCACGTCCACGTCCACGTCCACGTCCACGTCCACGTCCACGTCCACGTCCACGTCCACGTCCACGTCCACGTCCACGTCCACGTCCACGTCCACGTCCACGTCCACGTCCACGTCCACGTCCACGTCCACGTCCACGTCCACGTCCACGTCCACGTCCACGTCCACGTCCACGTCCACGTCCACGTCCACGTCCACGTCCACGTCCACGTCCACGTCCACGTCCACGTCCACGTCCACGTCCACGTCCACGTCCACGTCCACGTCCACGTCCACGTCCACACGTCCACGTCCACGTCCACGTCCACGTCCACGTCCACGTCCACGTCCACGTCCACGTCCACGTCCACGTCCACGTCCACGTCCACGTCCACGTCCACGTCCACGTCCACGTCCACGTCCACGTCCACGTCCACGTCCACGTCCACGTCCACGTCCACGTCCACGTCCACGTCCACGTCCACGTCCACGTCCACGTCCACGTCCACGTCCACGTCCACGTCCACGTCCACGTCCACGTCCACGTCCACGTCCACGTCCACGTCCACGTCCACGTCCACGTCCACGTCCACGTCCACGTCCACGTCCACGTCCACGTCCACGTCCACGTCCACGTCCACGTCCACGTCCACGTCCACGTCCACGTCCACGTCCACGTCCACGTCCACGTCCACGTCCACGTCCACGTCCACGTCCACGTCCACGTCCACGTCCACGTCCACGTCCACGTCCACGTCCACGTCCACGTCCACGTCCACGTCCACGTCCACGTCCACGTCCACGTCCACGTCCACGTCCACGTCCACGTCCACGTCCACGTCCACGTCCACGTCCACGTCCACGTCCACGTCCACGTCCACGTCCACGTCCGTCCACGTCCACGTCCACGTCCACGTCCACGTCCACGTCCACGTCCACGTCCACGTCCACGTCCACGTCCACGTCCACGTCCACGTCCACGTCCACGTCCACGTCCACGTCCACGTCCACGTCCACGTCCACGTCCACGTCCACGTCCACGTCCACGTCCACGTCCACGTCCACGTCCACGTCCACGTCCACGTCCACGTCCACGTCCACGTCCACGTCCACGTCCACGTCCACGTCCACGTCCACGTCCACGTCCACGTCCACGTCCACGTCCACGTCCACGTCCACGTCCACGTCCATGTCCACGTCCACGTCCACGTCCACGTCCACGTCCACGTCCACGTCCGTCCACGTCCACGTCCACGTCCACGTCCACGTCCACGTCCACGTCCACGTCCACGTCCACGTCCACGTCCACGTCCACGTCCACGTCCACGTCCACGTCCACGCCCACGTCCACGTCCACGTCCACGTCCACGTCCACGTCCACGTCCACGTCCACGTCCACGTCCACGTCCACGTCCACGTCCACGTCCACGTCCACGTCCACGTCCACGTCCACGTCCACGTCCACGTCCACGTCCACGTCCACGTCCACGTCCACGTCCACGTCCACGTCCACGTCCACGTCCACGTCCACGTCCACGTCCACGTCCACGTCCACGTCCACGTCCACGTCCACGTCCACGTCCACGTCCACGTCCACGTCCACGTCCACGTCCACGTCCACGTCCACGTCCACGTCCACGTCCACGTCCACGTCCACGTCCACGTCCACACGTCCACGTCCACGTCCACGTCCACGTCCACGTCCACGTCCACGTCCACGTCCACGTCCACGTCCACGTCCACGTCCACGTCCACGTCCACGTCCACGTCCACGTCCACGTCCACGTCCACGTCCACGTCCACGTCCACGTCCACGTCCACGTCCACGTCCACGTCCACGTCCACGTCCACGTCCACGTCCACGTCCACGTCCACGTCCACGTCCACGTCCACGTCCACGTCCACGTCCACGTCCACGTCCACGTCCACGTCCACGTCCACGTCCACGTCCGTCCACGTCCACGTCCACGTCCACGTCCACGTCCACGTCCACGTCCACGTCCACGTCCACGTCCACGTCCACGTCCACGTCCACGTCCACGTCCACGTCCACGTCCACGTCCACGTCCACGTCCACGTCCACGTCCACGTCCACGTCCACGTCCACGTCCACGTCCACGTCCACGTCCACGTCCACGTCCACGTCCACGTCCACGTCCACGTCCACGTCCACGTCCACGTCCACGTCCACGTCCACGTCCACGTCCACGTCCACGTCCACGTCCACGTCCACGTCCACGTCCACGTCCACGTCCACGTCCACGTCCACGTCCACGTCCACGTCCACGTCCACGTCCACGTCCACGTCCACGTCCACGTCCACGTCCACGTCCACGTCCACGTCCACGTCCACGTCCACGTCCACGTCCACGTCCACGTCCACGTCCACGTCCACGTCCACGTCCACGTCCACGTCCACGTCCACGTCCACGTCCACGTCCACGTCCACGTCCACGTCCACGTCCACGTCCACGTCCACGTCCACGTCCACGTCCACGTCCTCCACGTCCACGTCCACGTCCACGTCCACGTCCACGTCCACGTCCACGTCCACGTCCACGTCCACGTCCACGTCCACGTCCACGTCACGTCCACGTCCACGTCCTCCACGTCCACGTCCACGTCCACGTCCACGTCCACGTCCACGTCCACGTCCACGTCCACGTCCACGTCCACGTCCACGTCCACGTCCACGTCCACGTCCACGTCCACGTCCACGTCCACGTCCACGTCCACGTCCACGTCCACGTCCACGTCCACGTCCACGTCCACGTCCACGTCCACGTCCACGTCCACGTCCACGTCCACGTCCACGTCCACGTCCACGTCCACGTCCACGTCCACGTCCACGTCCACGTCCGTCCACGTCCACGTCCACGTCCACGTCCACGTCCACGTCCACGTCCACGTCCACGTCCACGTCCACGTCCACGTCCACGTCCACGTCCACGTCCACGTCCTCCACGTCCACGTCCACGTCCACGTCCACGTCCACGTCCACGTCCACGTCCACGTCCACGTCCACGTCCACGTCCACGTCCACGTCCACGTCCACGTCCACGTCCACGTCCACGTCCGTCCACGTCCACGTCCACGTCCACGTCCACGTCCACGTCCACGTCCACGTCCACGTCCACGTCCACGTCCACGTCCACGTCCACGTCCACGTCCACGTCCACGTCCACGTCCACGTCCACGTCCACGTCCACGTCCACGTCCACGTCCACGTCCACGTCCACGTCCACGTCCACGTCCACGTCCACGTCCACGTCCACGTCCACGTCCACGTCCACGTCCACGTCCACGTCCACGTCCACGTCCACGTCCACGTCCACGTCCACGTCCATGTCCACGTCCACGTCCACGTCCACGTCCACGTCCACGTCCACGTCCACGTCCACGTCCACGTCCACGTCCACGTCCACGTCCACGTCCACGTCCACGTCCACGTCCACGTCCACGTCCACGTCCACGTCCACGTCCACGTCCACGTCCACGTCCACGTCCACGTCCACGTCCACGTCCACGTCCACGTCCACGTCCACGTCCACGTCCACGTCCACGTCCACGTCCACGTCCACGTCCACGTCCACGTCCACGTCCACGTCCACGTCCACGTCCACGTCCACGTCCACGTCCACGTCCACGTCCACGTCCACGTCCACGTCCACGTCCACGTCCACGTCCACGTCCACGTCCACGTCCACGTCCACGTCCACGTCCATGTCCACGTCCACGTCCACGTCCACGTCCACGTCCACGTCCACGTCCACGTCCACGTCCACGTCCACGTCCACGTCCACGTCCACGTCCACGTCCACGTCCACGTCCACGTCCACGTCCACGTCCACGTCCACGTCCACGTCCACGTCCACGTCCACGTCCACGTCCACGTCCACGTCCACGTCACGTCCACGTCCACGTCCACGTCCACGTCCACGTCCACGTCCACGTCCACGTCCACGTCCACGTCCACGTCCACGTCCACGTCCACGTCCACGTCCACGTCCACGTCCACGTCCACGTCCACGTCCACGTCCACGTCCACGTCCACGTCCACGTCCACGTCCACGTCCACGTCCACGTCCACGTCCACGTCCACGTCCACGTCCACGTCCACGTCCACGTCCACGTCCACGTCCACGTCCACGTCCACGTCCACGTCCACGTCCACGTCCACGTCCACGTCCACGTCCACGTCCACGTCCACGTCCACGTCCACGTCCACGTCCACGTCCACGTCCACGTCCACGTCCACGTCCACGTCCACGTCCACGTCCACGTCCACGTCCACGTCCACGTCCACGTCCACGTCACGTCCACGTCCACGTCCACGTCCACGTCCACGTCCACGTCCACGTCCACGTCCACGTCCACGTCCACGTCCACGTCCACGTCCACGTCCACGTCCACGTCCACGTCCACGTCCACGTCCACGTCCACGTCCACGTCCACGTCCACGTCCACGTCCACGTCCACGTCCACGTCCACGTCCACGTCCACGTCCACGTCCACGTCCACGTCCACGTCCACGTCCACGTCCACGTCCACGTCCACGTCCACGTCCACGTCCACGTCCACGTCCACGTCCACGTCCACGTCCACGTCCACGTCCACGTCCACGTCCACGTCCACGTCCACGTCCACGTCCACGTCCACGTCACGTCCACGTCCACGTCCACGTCCACGTCCACGTCCACGTCCACGTCCACGTCCACGTCCACGTCCACGTCCACGTCCACGTCCACGTCCACGTCCACGTCCACGTCCACGTCCACGTCCACGTCCACGTCCACGTCCACGTCCACGTCCACGTCCACGTCCACGTCCACGTCCACGTCCACGTCCACGTCCACGTCCACGTCCACGTCCACGTCCACGTCCACGTCCACGTCCACGTCCACGTCCACGTCCACGTCCACGTCCACGTCGTCCACGTCCACGTCCACGTCCACGTCCACGTCCACGTCCACGTCCACGTCCACGTCCGTCCACGTCCACGTCCACGTCCACGTCCACGTCCACGTCCACGTCCACGTCCACGTCCACGTCCACGTCCACGTCCACGTCCACGTCCACGTCCACGTCCACGTCCACGTCCACGTCCACGTCCACGTCCACGTCCACGTCCACGTCCACGTCCACGTCCACGTCCACGTCCACGTCCACGTCCACGTCCACGTCCACGTCCACGTCCACGTCCACGTCCACGTCCACGTCCACGTCCACGTCCACGTCCACGTCCACGTCCACGTCCACGTCCACGTCCACGTCCACGTCCACGTCCACGTCCACGTCCACGTCCACGTCCACGTCCACGTCCACGTCCACGTCCACGTCCACGTCCACGTCCACGTCCACGTCCACGTCCACGTCCACGTCCACGTCCACGTCCACGTCCACGTCCACGTCCACGTCCACGTCCACGTCCACGTCCACGTCCACGTCCACGTCCACGTCCACGTCCACGTCCACGTCCACGTCCACGTCCACGTCCACGTCCACGTCCACGTCCACGTCCACGTCCACGTCCACGTCCACGTCCACGTCCACGTCCACGTCCACGTCCACGTCCACGTCCACGTCCACGTCCACGTCCACGTCCACGTCCACGTCCACGTCCACGTCCACGTCCACGTCCACGTCCACGTCCACGTCCACGTCCACGTCCACGTCCACGTCCACGTCCACGTCCACGTCCACGTCCACGTCCACGTCCACGTCCACGTCCACGTCCACGTCCACGTCCACGTCCACGTCCACGTCCACGTCCACGTCCACGTCCACGTCCACGTCCACGTCCACGTCCACGTCCACGTCCATGTCCACGTCCACGTCCACGTCCACGTCCACGTCCACGTCCACGTCCACGTCCACGTCCACGTCCACGTCCACGTCCACGTCCACGTCCACGTCCACGTCCACGTCCACGTCCACGTCCACGTCCACGTCCACGTCCACGTCCACGTCCACGTCCACGTCCACGTCCACGTCCACGTCCACGTCCACGTCCACGTCCACGTCCACGTCCACGTCCACGTCCACGTCCACGTCCACGTCCACGTCCACGTCCACGTCCACGTCCACGTCCACGTCCACGTCCACGTCCACGTCCACGTCCACGTCCACGTCCACGTCCACGTCCACGTCCACGTCCACGTCCACGTCCACGTCCACGTCCACGTCCACGTCCACGTCCACGTCCACGTCCACGTCCACGTCCACGTCCACGTCCACGTCCACGTCCACGTCCACGTCCACGTCCACGTCCACGTCCACGTCCACGTCCACGTCCACGTCCACGTCCACGTCCACGTCCACGTCCACGTCCACGTCCACGTCCACGTCCACGTCCACGTCCACGTCCACGTCCACGTCCACGTCCACGTCCACGTCCACGTCCACGTCCACGTCCACGTCCACGTCCACGTCCACGTCCACGTCCACGTCCACGTCCACGTCCACGTCCACGTCCACGTCCACGTCCACGTCCACGTCCACGTCCACGTCCACGTCCACGTCCACGTCCACGTCCACGTCCACGTCCACGTCCACGTCCACGTCCATGTCCACGTCCACGTCCACGTCCACGTCCACGTCCACGTCCACGTCCACGTCCACGTCCACGTCCACGTCCACGTCCACGTCCACGTCCACGTCCACGTCCACGTCCACGTCCACGTCCACGTCCACGTCCACGTCCACGTCCACGTCCACGTCCACGTCCACGTCCACGTCCACGTCCACGTCCACGTCCACGTCCACGTCCACGTCCACGTCCACGTCCACGTCCACGTCCACGTCCACGTCCACGTCCACGTCCACGTCCACGTCCACGTCCACGTCCACGTCCACGTCCACGTCCACGTCCACGTCCACGTCCACGTCCACGTCCACGTCCACGTCCACGTCCACGTCCACGTCCACGTCCACGTCCACGTCCACGTCCACGTCCACGTCCACGTCCACGTCCACGTCCACGTCCACGTCCACGTCCACGTCCACGTCCACGTCCACGTCCACGTCCACGTCCACGTCCACGTCCACGTCCACGTCCACGTCCACGTCCACGTCCACGTCCACGTCCACGTCCACGTCCACGTCCACGTCCACGTCCACGTCGTCCACGTCCACGTCCACGTCCACGTCCACGTCCACGTCCACGTCCACGTCCACGTCCACGTCCACGTCCACGTCCACGTCCACGTCCACGTCCACGTCCACGTCCACGTCCACGTCCACGTCCACGTCCACGTCCACGTCCACGTCCACGTCCACGTCCACGTCCACGTCCACGTCCACGTCCACGTCCACGTCCACGTCCACGTCCACGTCCACGTCCACGTCCACGTCCACGTCCACGTCCACGTCCACGTCCACGTCCACGTCCACGTCCACGTCCACGTCCACGTCCACGTCCACGTCCACGTCCACGTCCACGTCCACGTCCACGTCCACGTCCACGTCCACGTCCACGTCCACGTCCACGTCCACGTCCACGTCCACGTCCACGTCCACGTCCACGTCCACGTCCACGTCCACGTCCACGTCCACGTCCACGTCCACGTCCACGTCCACGTCCACGTCCATCCACGTCCACGTCCACGTCCACGTCCACGTCCACGTCCACGTCCACGTCCACGTCCACGTCCACGTCCACGTCCACGTCCACGTCCACGTCCACGTCCACGTCCACGTCCACGTCCACGTCCACGTCCACGTCCACGTCCACGTCCACGTCCACGTCCACGTCCACGTCCACGTCCACGTCCACGTCCACGTCCACGTCCACGTCCACGTCCACGTCCACGTCCACGTCCACGTCCACGTCCACGTCCACGTCCACGTCCACGTCCACGTCCACGTCCACGTCCACGTCCACGTCCACGTCCACGTCCACGTCCACGTCCACGTCCACGTCCACGTCCACGTCCACGTCCACGTCCACGTCCACGTCCACGTCCACGTCCACGTCCACGTCCACGTCCACGTCCACGTCCACGTCCACGTCCACGTCCACGTCCACGTCCACGTCCACGTCCACGTCCACGTCCACGTCCACGTCCACGTCCACGTCCACGTCCACGTCCACGTCCACGTCCACGTCCACGTCCACGTCCACGTCCACGTCCACGTCCACGTCCACGTCCACGTCCACGTCCATGTCCACGTCCACGTCCACGTCCACGTCCACGTCCACGTCCACGTCCACGTCCACGTCCACGTCCACGTCCACGTCCACGTCCACGTCCACGTCCACGTCCACGTCCACGTCCACGTCCACGTCCACGTCCACGTCCACGTCCACGTCCACGTCCACGTCCACGTCCACGTCCACGTCCACGTCCACGTCCACGTCCACGTCCACGTCCACGTCCACGTCCACGTCCACGTCCACGTCCACGTCCACGTCCACGTCCACGTCCACGTCCACGTCCACGTCCACGTCCACGTCCACGTCCACGTCCACGTCCACGTCCACGTCCACGTCCACGTCCACGTCCACGTCCACGTCCACGTCCACGTCCACGTCCACGTCCACGTCCACGTCCACGTCCACGTCCACGTCCACGTCCACGTCCACGTCCACGTCCACGTCCACGTCCACGTCCACGTCCACGTCCACGTCCACGTCCACGTCCACGTCCACGTCCACGTCCACGTCCACGTCCACGTCCACGTCCACGTCCACGTCCACGTCCACGTCCACGTCCACGTCCACGTCCACGTCCACGTCCACGTCCACGTCCACGTCCACGTCCACGTCCACGTCCACGTCCACGTCCACGTCCACGTCCACGTCCACGTCCACGTCCACGTCCACGTCCACGTCCACGTCCACGTCCACGTCCACGTCCACGTCCACGTCCACGTCCACGTCCACGTCCACGTCCACGTCCACGTCCACGTCCACGTCCACGTCCACGTCCACGTCCACGTCCACGTCCACGTCCACGTCCACGTCCACGTCCACGTCCACGTCCACGTCCACGTCCACGTCCACGTCCACGTCCACGTCCACGTCCACGTCCACGTCCACGTCCACGTCCACGTCCACGTCCACGTCCACGTCCACGTCCACGTCCACGTCCACGTCCACGTCCACGTCCACGTCCACGTCCACGTCCACGTCCACGTCCACGTCCACGTCCACGTCCACGTCCACGTCCACGTCGTCCACGTCCACGTCCACGTCCACGTCCACGTCCACGTCCACGTCCACGTCCACGTCCACGTCCACGTCCACGTCCACGTCCACGTCCACGTCCACGTCCACGTCCACGTCCACGTCCACGTCCACGTCCACGTCCACGTCCACGTCCACGTCCACGTCCACGTCCACGTCCACGTCCACGTCCACGTCCACGTCCACGTCCACGTCCACGTCCACGTCCACGTCCACGTCCACGTCCACGTCCACGTCCACGTCCACGTCCACGTCCACGTCCACGTCCACGTCCACGTCCACGTCCACGTCCACGTCCACGTCCACGTCCACGTCCTCCACGTCCACGTCCACGTCCACGTCCACGTCCACGTCCACGTCCACGTCCACGTCCACGTCCACGTCCACGTCCACGTCCACGTCCACGTCCACGTCCACGTCCACGTCCACGTCCACGTCCACGTCCACGTCCACGTCCACGTCCACGTCCACGTCCACGTCCACGTCCACGTCCACGTCCACGTCCACGTCCACGTCCACGTCCACGTCCACGTCCACGTCCACGTCCACGTCCACGTCCACGTCCACGTCCACGTCCACGTCCACGTCCACGTCCACGTCCACGTCCACGTCCACGTCCACGTCCACGTCCACGTCCACGTCCACGTCCACGTCCACGTCCACGTCCACGTCCACGTCCACGTCCACGTCCACTCCACGTCCACGTCCACGTCCACGTCCACGTCCACGTCCACGTCCACGTCCACGTCCACGTCCACGTCCACGTCCACGTCCACGTCCACGTCCACGTCCACGTCCACGTCCACGTCACGTCCACGTCCACGTCCACGTCCACGTCCACGTCCACGTCCACGTCCACGTCCACGTCCACGTCCACGTCCACGTCCACGTCCACGTCCACGTCCACGTCCACGTCCACGTCCACGTCCACGTCCACGTCCACGTCCACGTCCACGTCCACGTCCACGTCCACGTCCACGTCCACGTCCACGTCCACGTCCACGTCCACGTCCACGTCCACGTCCACGTCCACGTCCACGTCCACGTCCACGTCCACGTCCACGTCCACGTCCACGTCCACGTCCACGTCCACGTCCACGTCCACGTCCACGTCCACGTCCACGTCCACGTCCACGTCCACGTCCACGTCCACGTCCACGTCCACGTCCACGTCCACGTCCACGTCCACGTCCACGTCCACGTCCACGTCCACGTCCACGTCCACGTCCACGTCCACGTCCACGTCCACGTCCACGTCCACGTCCACGTCCACGTCCACGTCCACGTCCACGTCCACGTCCACGTCCACGTCCACGTCCACGTCCACGTCCACGTCCACGTCCACGTCCACGTCCACGTCCACGTCCACGTCCACGTCCACGTCCACGTCCACGTCCACGTCCACGTCCACGTCCACGTCCACGTCCACGTCCACGTCCACGTCCACGTCCACGTCCACGTCCACGTCCACGTCCACGTCCACGTCCACGTCCACGTCCACGTCCACGTCCACGTCCACGTCCACGTCCACGTCCACGTCCACGTCCACGTCCACGTCCACGTCCACGTCCACGTCCACGTCCACGTCCACGTCCACGTCCACGTCCACGTCCACGTCCACGTCCACGTCCACGTCCACGTCCACGTCCACGTCCACGTCCACGTCCACGTCCACGTCCACGTCCACGTCCACGTCCACGTCCACGTCCACGTCCACGTCCACGTCCACGTCCACGTCCACGTCCACGTCCACGTCCACGTCCACGTCCACGTCCACGTCCACGTCCACGTCCACGTCCACCGTCCACGTCCACGTCCACGTCCACGTCCACGTCCACGTCCACGTCCACGTCCACGTCCACGTCCACGTCCACGTCCACGTCCACGTCCACGTCCACGTCCACGTCCACGTCCACGTCCACGTCCACGTCCACGTCCACGTCCACGTCCACGTCCACGTCCACGTCCACGTCCACGTCCACGTCCACGTCCACGTCCACGTCCACGTCCACGTCCACGTCCACGTCCACGTCCACGTCCACGTCCACGTCCACGTCCACGTCCACGTCCACGTCCACGTCCACGTCCGTCCACGTCCACGTCCACGTCCACGTCCACGTCCACGTCCACGTCCACGTCCACGTCCACGTCCACGTCCACGTCCACGTCCACGTCCACGTCCACGTCCCACGTCCACGTCCACGTCCACGTCCACGTCCACGTCCACGTCCACGTCCACGTCCACGTCCACGTCCCCGTCCACGTCCACGTCCACGTCCACGTCCACGTCCACGTCCACGTCCACGTCCACGTCCACGTCCACGTCCACGTCCACGTCCACGTCCACGTCCACGTCCACGTCCACGTCCACGTCCACGTCCACGTCCACGTCCACGTCCACGTCCACGTCCACGTCCACGTCCACGTCCACGTCCACGTCCACGTCCACGTCCACGTCCACGTCCACGTCCACGTCCACGTCCACGTCCACGTCCACGTCCACGTCCACGTCCACGTCCACGTCCAGTCCACGTCCACGTCCACGTCCACGTCCACGTCCACGTCCACGTCCACGTCCACGTCCACGTCCACGTCCACGTCCACGTCCACGTCCACGTCCACGTCGTCCACGTCCACGTCCACGTCCACGTCCACGTCCACGTCCACGTCCACGTCCACGTCCACGTCCACGTCCACGTCCACGTCCACGTCCACGTCCACGTCCACGTCCACGTCCACGTCCACGTCCACGTCCACGTCCACGTCCACGTCCACGTCCACGTCCACGTCCACGTCCACGTCCACGTCCACGTCCACGTCCACGTCCACGTCCACGTCCACGTCCACGTCCACGTCCACGTCACGTCCACGTCCACGTCCACGTCCACGTCCACGTCCACGTCCACGTCCACGTCCACGTCCACGTCCACGTTCCACGTCCACGTCCACGTCCACGTCCACGTCCACGTCCACGTCACGTCGTCCACGTCCACGTCCACGTCCACGTCCACGTCCACGTCCACGTCCACCACCCATGTCCACGTCCACGTCCACGTCCACGTCCACGTCCACGTCCACGTCCACGTCCACGTCCACGTCCACGTCCACGTCCACGTCCACGTCCACGTCCACGTCCACGTCCACGTCCACGTCCAGTCCACGTCCACGTCCACGTCCACGTCCACGTCCCGTCCACGTCCACGTCCACGTCCACGTCCACGTCCACGTCCACGTCCACGTCCACGTCCACGTCCACGTCCACGTCCACGTCCACGTCCATGTCCACGTCCACGTCCACGTCCACGTCCACGTCCACGTCCACGTCCACGTCCACGTCCACGTCCACGTCCACGTCCACGTCACGGGTCCACGTCCACGTCCACGTCCACGTCCACGTCCACGTCCACGTCCACGTCCACGTCCACGTCCATGTCCACGTCCATGTCCACGTCCACGTCCACGTCCACGTCCACGTCCACGTCCACGTCCTCCACGTCCACGTCCACGTCCACGTCCACGTCCACGTCCACGTCCACGTCCACGTCACGTCCACGTCCACGTCCACGTCCATGTCCACGTCCACGTCCACGTCCACGTCCAGTCCACGTCCACGTCCACGTCCACGTCCACGTCCACGTCCACGTCCACGTCCACGTCCACGTCCACGTCCACGTCCACGTCCACGTCACGTCCACGTCCACGTCCACGTCCACGTCCACGTCCACGTCCACGTCCACGTCCACGTCCACGTCCACGTCCACGTCCACGTCCACGTCCACGTCCACGTCCATGTCCACGTCCACGTCCACGTCCACGTCCACGTCCCACGTCCACGTCCACGTCCACGTCCACGTCCACGTCCACGTCCACGTCACGTCCACGTCCACGTCCACGTCCACGTCCACGTCCACGTCCACGTCCACGTCCACGTCCACGTCCACGTCCACGTCCACGTCCACGTCCACGTCCACGTCCACGTCCACGTCCACGTCCACGTCCACGTCCACGTCCCGTCCACGTCCACGTCCACGTCCACGTCCACGTCCACGTCCACGTCCACGTCCACGTCCACGTCCACGTCCACGTCCACGTCACGTCCACGTCCACGTCCACGTCCACGTCCACGTCCACGTCCACGTCCACGTCCACGTCCACGTCCACGTCCACGTCCACGTCCACGTCCCAGTCCACGTCCACGTCCACGTCCACGTCCACGTCCACGTCCACGTCCACGTCCACGTCCACGTCCACGTCCACGTCCACGTCCACGTCCACGTCCACGTCCACGTCCACGTCCACGTCCACGTCCACGTCCACGTCCCGTCCACGTCCACGTCCACGTCCACGTCCACGTCCACGTCCACGTCCACGTCCACGTCCACGTCCACGTCCACGTCCACGTCCACGTCCACGTCCACGTCCACGTCCACGTCCACGTCCACGTCACGTCCACGTCCCACGTCCACGTCCACGTCCACGTCCACGTCCACGTCCACGTCCACGTCCACGTCCACGTCCACGTCCACGTCCACGTCCACGTCCACGTCCACGTCCACGTCCACGTCCACGTCCACGTCCACGTCCACGTCCACGTCCACGTCCACGTCCCGTCCACGTCCACGTCCACGTCCACGTCCACGTCCACGTCCACGTCCACGTCCACGTCCACGTCCACGTCCACGTCCACGTCCACGTCCACGTCCACGTCCACGTCCACGTCCACGTCCACGTCCACGTCCACGTCCACGTCCACGTCCACGTCCACGTCCACGTCCACGTCCACGTCCACGTCCACGTCCACGTCCACGTCCACGTCCACGTCCACGTCCACGTCCACGTCCACGTCCACGTCCACGTCCACGTCCACGTCCACGTCCACGTCCACGTCCGTCCACGTCCACGTCCACGTCCACGTCCACGTCCACGTCCACGTCCACGTCCACGTCCACGTCCACGTCCACGTCCACGTCCACGTCCACGTCCACGTCCACGTCCTCCACGTCCACGTCCACGTCCACGTCCCACGTCCACGTCCACGTCCACGTCCACGTCCACGTCCACGTCCACGTCCACGTCCACGTCCACGTCCACGTCCACGTCCACGTCCCGTCCACGTCCACGTCCACGTCCACGTCCACGTCCACGTCCACGTCCACGTCCAGTCCACGTCCACGTCCACGTCCACGTCCACGTCCACGTCCACGTCCACGTCCACGTCCACGTCCACGTCCACGTCCACGTCACGTCCACGTCCACGTCCACGTCCACGTCCACGTCCACGTCCACGTCCACGTCCACGTCCATGTCCACGTCCACGTCCACGTCCACGTCCACGTCCACGTCCACGTCCACGTCCTCCACGTCCACGTCCACGTCCGTCCACGTCCACGTCCACGTCCATGTCCACGTCCACGTCCACGTCCACGTCCACGTCCACGTCCACGTCCACGTCCACGTCCACGTCCACGTCCACGTCCACGTCCACGTCCACGTCACGTCCACGTCCACGTCCACGTCCACGTCCACGTCCACGTCCACGTCCACGTCCACGTCCACGTCCACGTCCACGTCCACGTCCACGTCCACGTCCACGTCCACGTCCACGTCCACGTCCACGTCCACGTCACGTCCACGTCCACGTCCACGTCCACGTCCACGTCCACGTCCACGTCCACGTCACGTCCACGTCCACGTCCACGTCCACGTCCACGTCCACGTCCACGTCCACGCACGTCCACGTCCACGTCCACGTCCACGTCCACGTCCACGTCCACGTCCACGTCCACGTCCACGTCGTCCACGTCCACGTCCACGTCCACGTCCACGTCCACGTCCACGTCACTCCACGTCCACGTCCACGTCCACGTCCACGTCCACGTCCACGTCCACGTCCACGTCCACGTCCACGTCCACGTCCACGTCACGACAGTCCACGTCCACGTCCAGATCAACGTCCACGTCCACGTCCACGTCCACGTCCACGTCCACGTCCACGTCCACGTCCCGTCCACGTCCACGTCCACGTCCACTCCACGTCCACGTCCACGTCCACGTCCACGTCCACGTCCACGTCCACGTCCACGTCCACGTCCACGTCCACGTCCACGTCCACGTCCACGTCCACGTCCACGTCCACGTCCACGTCCACGTCCACGTCCACGTCCACGTCCACGTCCACGTCCACGTCCACGTCCACGTCCACGTCCACGTCCACGTCCACGTCCACGTCCACGTCCACGTCCACGTCCACGTCCACGTCCACGTCCACGTCCCACACGTCCACGTCCACGTCCACGTCCACGTCCACGTCCACGTCCACGTCCACGTCCACGTCCACGTCCACGTCCACGTCCACGTCCACGTCCACGTCCACGTCCACGTCCACGTCCACGTCCACGTCCACGTCCACGTCCACGTCCACGTCCACGTCCACGTCCACGTCCACGTCCACGTCCACACGTCCACGTCCACGTCCACGTCCACGTCCACGTCCACGTCCACGTCCACGTCCACGTCCACGTCCACGTCCACGTCCACGTCCACGTCCACGTCCACGTCCACGTCCACGTCCACGTCCACGTCCACGTCCACGTCCACGTCCACGTCCACGTCCACGTCCACGTCCACGTCCACGTCCACGTCCACGTCCACGTCCGTCCACGTCCACGTCCACGTCCACGTCCACGTCCACGTCCACGTCCACGTCCACGTCCACGTCCACGTCCACGTCCACGTCCACGTCCACGTCCACGTCCACGTCCACGTCCACGTCCACGTCCACGTCCACGTCCACGTCCACGTCCACGTCCACGTCCACGTCCACGTCCACGTCCACGTCCACGTCCACGTCCACGTCCACGTCCACGTCCATTCCACGTCCACGTCCACGTCCACGTCCACGTCCACGTCCACGTCCACGTCCACGTCCACGTCCACGTCCACGTCCACGTCCACGTCCACGTCCACGTCACAGTCCACGTCCACGTCCACGTCCACGTCCACGTCCACGTCCACGTCCACGTCCACGTCCACGTCCACGTCCACGTCCACGTCCACGTCCACGTCCACGTCCACGTCCACGTCCAACGTCCACGTCCACGTCCACGTCCACGTCCACGTCCACGTCCACGTCCACGTCCACGTCCACGTCCACGTCCACGTCCACCACGTCCACGTCCACGTCCACGTCCACGTCCACGTCCACGTCCACGTCCACGTCCACGTCCACGTCCATGTCCACGTCCACGTCCACGTCCACGTCCACGTCCACGTCCACGTCCACGTCCACGTCCACGTCCACGTCCCACGTCCACGTCCACGTCCACGTCCACGTCCACAGTCCACGTCCACGTCCACGTCCACGTCCACGTCCACGTCCACGTCCACGTCCACGTCCATGTCCACGTCCACGTCCACGTCCACGTCCACGTCCACGTCCACGTCCACGTCCACGTCCACGTCCACGTCCACGTCCACGTCCACGTCCACGTCCACGTCCACGTCCACGTCCACGTCCACGTCCACGTCCACGTCCACGTCCACGTCCACGTCCACGTCCATGTCCACGTCCACGTCCACGTCACGTCCACGTCCACGTCCACGTCCACGTCCACGTCCACGTCCATGTCCACGTCCACGTCCACGTCCACGTCCACGTCCACGTCCACGTCCACGTCCACGTCCACGTCCACGTCCACGTCCACGTCCATGTCCACGTCCACGTCCACGTCCACGTCCACGTCCACGTCCACGTCCACGTCCACGTCCCCGTCCACGTCCACGTCCACGTCCACGTCCACGTCCACGTCCACGTCCACGTCCACGTCCACGTCCACGTCCACGTCCACGTCCACGTCCACGTCCACGTCCACGTCCACGTCCACGTCCACGTCCACGTCCACGTCCACGTCCACGTCCACGTCCACGTCCACGTCCACGTCCACGTCCACGTCCACGTCCACGTCCATGTCCACGTCCACGTCCACGTCCACGTCCACGTCACGTCCACGTCCACGTCCACGTCCATGTCCACGTCCACGTCCACGTCCGTCACGTCCACGTCCACGTCCACGTCCACGTCCACGTCCACGTCCACGTCCACGTCCAGTCCACGTCCACGTCCACGTCCACGTCCACGTCCACGTCCACGTCCACGTCCACGTCCACGTCCACGTCCACGTCACGTCCACGTCCACGTCCACGTCCACGTCCACGTCCACGTCCACGTCCACGTCCACGTCCACGTCCACGTCCACGTCCACGTCCACGTCCACGTCCACGTCCACGTCCACGTCCACGTCCACGTCCACGTCACGTCCACGTCCACGTCCACGTCCACGTCCACGTCCACGTCCACGTCCACGTCCACGTCCACGTCCACGTCCACGTCCACGTCCACGTCCACGTCCATGTCCACGTCCACGTCCACGTCCACGTCCACGTCCACGTCCACGTCCGTCCACGTCCACGTCCACGTCCACGTCCACGTCCACGTCCACGTCCATGTCCACGTCCACGTCCACGTCCACGTCACGTCCATCCACGTCCACGTCCACGTCCACGTCCACGTCCACGTCCACGTCCACGTCCACGTCCACGTCCACGTCCACGTCCACGTCCACGTCCACGTCCACGTCCACGTCCACGTCCACGTCCATGTCCACGTCCACGTCCACGTCCACGTCCACGTCCCGTCCACGTCCACGTCCACGTCCACGTCCACGTCCACGTCCACGTCCACGTCCACGTCCACGTCCACGTCCATGTCCACGTCCACGTCCTCCACGTCCACGTCCACGTCCACGTCCACGTCCACGTCCACGTCCCCACGTCCACGTCCACGTCCACGTCCACGTCCACGTCCATGTCCACGTCCACGTCCACGTCCACGTCCACGTCCACGTCCATGTCCACGTCCACGTCCACGTCCACGTCCACGTCCACGTCCACGTCCACGTCCACGTCCACGTCCACGTCCACGTCCACGTCCACGTCCACGTCCACGTCCACGTCCACGTCCACCCACGTCCACGTCCATGTCCACGTCCACGTCCACGTCCACGTCCACGTCCACGTCCACGTCCACGTCCACGTCCACGTCCACGTCCACGTCCACGTCCACGTCCACGTCCACGTCCATGTCCACGTCCACGTCCACGTCCACGTCCACGTCCACGTCGTCCACGTCCAGTCACGTCCACGTCCACGTCACGTCCACGTCCACGTCCACGTCCACGTCCACGTCCACGTCCACGACAGTCCACGTCCACGTCCACGTCCATGTCCACGTCCACGTCCACGTCACGTCCACGTCCACGTCCATGTCCACGTCCACCAGTCCACGTCCACGTCCACGTCCACGTCCACGTCCACGTCCACGTCCACGTCCATGTCACGTCCATGTCCACGTCCACGTCCACGTCCACGTCCACGTCCATGTCCACGTCCACGTCCACGTCCACGTCCACGTCCACGTCCACGTCATGTCCACGTCCATGTCCATGTCCACGTCCACGTCCACGTCCACGTTTCCACGTCCACGTCCACGTCCACGTCCACGTCCACGTCCACGTCCACGTCCACGTCCACGTCCACGTCCACGTCCATGTCCACGTCCACGTCCACGTCCACGTCCACGTCCAGTGTCCACGTCCACGTCCACGTCCACGTCACGTCCACGTCCACGTCCACGTCCACGTCCACGTCCAGTCCACGTCCACGTCCATGTCCACGTCCACGTCCACGTCCACGTCCACGTCCACGTCCACGTCCACGTCCACCCACGTCCACGTCCACGTCCACGTCCACGTCCACGTCCACGTCCATGTCCACGTCCACGTCCACGTCCACGTCCACGTCATGTCCACGTCCACGTCCACGTCCACGTCCACGTCCACGTCCACGTCCACGTCCACGTCCA